AAAAAAAAAGGAAATTAAAAAGAAGTAAACCAAAAGAAAAGATATCAAAACAGCCTAACAGGCAGAAATGGTGGAAACGGTAGGTCCAAACGGCACGAAAGGCATGTAGAAGGCCTCTGGGTTGTCATCGCACTTGAACATTTCCGACTTGCAAGGAAAGTCCTTGGGGCAGTCCATGTCTGGACCAAACCCGGCTGCCGATGGCACCGCGGATAAAGCATCCAGATCGGAATAATCCTCAGTCAGGGAAGTGATATCGGAAGCGGCGTCAGAGAAATCAGAGGAGTTGGAGGAGGAAGAAGTATCCGAAGAGGAAGCGGATGCATGCGAAGCCATGAGGGGTTGAACGGGAACGGATGCCGGAACCTGGGGGAGGACGAAAGGTGGATGCTGAGGAGTAGGAGCACCGTTGGAAACCCACGGCGTAACAGGAGTCATGGTAAACCGCGGACAATCCAGGACCAACCTGCGCAGTTCCGGAATTGTGATCCTCTGGGCGGGATCGCAATCGAAGATGCGACTCAAGACGAAAATCATCTCATTGGACAGGGGAAGGATGGTCTTCAGGAAGAACGGGTCCTTTAGGTATGCGCGGAATGTGGGATCCTCAATGGAAGCACGTTTCCATGGATTACGTCCGCAGGTCAGGTTGACCAGGATAACCCCCAGGCTCCAGACATCATTAGGGACGGCAGCGTAGCAAGTCATGGGATGGGGATTCTGTTGTTGGCATTCTTTGGAGAGAATGAGCACGACGTTCGACAAAACAAGACGGGGGAAGGGGACGGGGAAAGGCTACCTGGTGACATGTAAAACGTGGAACCGCAACCAAAATCCGGCGAAAGATAGTCCGTGGTAGCAAGGCCAAAATCGGCCAACTTAACCGTCATGCCCTGGTCGGTGACCAGAATGTTCTCCGGCTTGAGATCCCGATGGTAAATTCCTAAGGAGTGGCAGAATTGAACAGCATCCAGGATCTGGAGGAAAGTGCGCTTGACCAGGGCATCATTTCCGACAAAGAAACCCTTGTCGGTAATGGAAGAAAAGAGATCACCCTCCGGACAGTAATCAAGGACCACATAAGTACAATCCGGAGCATCCATAATGCTAACGAGGGAAACGACATTGGGATGCTGGCTGGCCATATGGTGCAATCTGATCTCCCGTTGTTGGTATTTGAGCTGGCGGGGGTCTCCGGTCTTGTTGAGGGCCTTGACGGCATACATGACCTGGGTGTGGATGTCGATAGCAGTGTAAACAACCCCATAGGCGCCTACGCCCAGGATCCCAGTCAGTTTTAGACGGTTGGCCAGCAATATTCCCAATCGGTCTTCAGGCGCGACCGGTCTGGCGACGGTGGGCGGCGATGGTGGCGGAGTCGGGAGAGCGGTAGGGTACATGGTGTATAGAGGAGATGGAGGAAGCATGGCGTATCCTAGGGAAGAACTCCTGGCTAGAATATAAAAGAGAAAAGCAAGAGAGAAATAGAGAAATCCAGGAATATCCAATGGGTCGAATGTATCCGAATGTATCCAATCCAATCCAGTGGCAGGTTCCAATCAATAATCCACGGGAGGTATAAGCAGTCTTTAAATCCTGTTCTTGTAGTTTCTTCTTCTTTCTTTCTTTTTTCAAAGATCCATATAGGAGAGCAAATAAATATCCAAGAGATGCAGCAAATATCCAAGGAAAGTTAAATCCACGGGTCGAATAAAGAGGCAACTTATGTGTTGTTGGGTGGTGATGGTGGTGTTGTTTTGTTGTTGTTGTTGTTGTTGTCGTTGTTGTATGGGGAGGTGAGAGGATTATGTGATAAGGAGGGAAATATATGCAGAAGAACAGCAAAAGAAAAAGAGACAAGCAGCAAAGGAAATGGACAGAAAAGAAAATCGCGACGATTAAAAAGTATGAGGAAGAATTAAGAAGAATAAAAGAAGCAGCAGGAGAAATAAAAGGATTGGCAATAAGCCAAATAATACTAGTACAATTCTCGACCCGCCTCGTGGTGGGCGATGCGGATCCACCGTCAGGGTATTACCGGTACTGGGCGCTGACTCAGCTGTCAGGAAAATACCAGAACAGGTCAGTTACATCTGGGCCGATCGCGGGCTGCCAATCAGGAGGGGGCATCTGCCGTGTATGATGCTTCGACTGGGCCGTGCGTGGGGCAGGATATTCATAGTGTGTACGGAATACATAGGGGATAGAGACAATAGAATAGGATACAATGGAATAATACAACATCACAGTTCATTCTATATAACTTAGTACACAAGAATATGTGTATGTACACAACACTGTACAGAGTACAGAATAGAATACAGAATACTATCACATATGAGTATATGAGCATAGTGGCTGTGACCACTAACGCACACTACCGCCGCTGCAGCGCAGGGGCCCCAACAGAATCCCTGGCGGTGTGTGTGACACTCCATCAGCGGCTGAGTAATCACAACAGGAATAGTTTGCTTTGAACAAAGAACGGTATTAACTCTTAACACTACTGACTACTTGTACGGGGTAGTTACTTTACTTGTTGCCAGCTCAGCTCACCCCCTCATTCCCTCCGAGGACGGAGCACAGTCAGTCAGTCAGTCAGTCATAAACTCACGACTACAACAATCAAGTATGAGTGAGGCTAGGCCACGTTGCACCCCCTTCCAACCCCCTGATTGGCTCGTCACCCACGGAGCAGCCCTGTTCTCAGCCTTGCCTTTTTATAGCCGGAGACTTTGTTATTGGTCACCGCAGCCAACTAGGGGGATTCTTTGTGCTGGACCGAGTACTCCGTACATATGAAGTGTCGAGTAAGATGGAAACATATGATATAACTCATACTCTACTCTGTACAAGTAATAGAATAAGCAAGGTAGAATCCTCACATGCAGCTCTGTATACTTACCCTGACACATACCCTGACTGCGCACGGCTCATCCAACGGCTCCCTCTCCTCCTGTGAGCTACGATCATCTTCCCGAATTCTTCCATTTTCGTTGTCATACCTCATCATTGTGTTATACAGCGTACGGAGTATACAGGGTTCGGAGTATAATAGAGCGCTAGATACCCATATCTTGCCACCATGGTTCACTCGGGCGCGGTTCTCCCATCGATGCGTCAGTGGCGTAGTGGCAACCAACCATTATTTCCACCTGTTCATTCCAGACAGAGGGGGAGGAAACAAACAAACAAACAAACAAAAAAAAAAAAAAAAAAAAAAAAAAAAAAAAAAAAAAAAAAAGAGAGAGAGAAAATAGAAATCTCACATAATTATCTAATTATGTACGAGCACAAAAATGTACACATCAATTCTTAGGCCGCAAAATAAACGGATGTCGCAACGCCTCCGTCGGTGTGCACCGTTTCTCCGGATTCAGGCTCAGGCACCGCTCCAACAGATCCACAAACAGATTCAATTCCTTCGCCTCCCCGTCACTCAGCCTCGTGTCATGACCCATTAACCTCGTCTTTAGATCCCGCGTCGGCTTCTTGAAGTCTAGCACCCGCGTCACAATTCGCCCCGTCACCTTGTCCTCTTCCGTGCTCCGGAAATTGAGCATGTCGTCAAAGTGCAGGTGCGCCAGGGTGCCCCGTCGCAGCAACTTCGGCGGGTATTTGCCACGGCATTCCATAATTGACCGTAGCATTTGATTGTTGTTTCGGCCCGTAAACAGAATTTTGCCCGTGTACAGCTCAAAGAGCGTACAGCCAATCGACCACATGTCGATCCCGTAGTCGTAGGGGATCCCGAGGATAACCTCCGGCGCCCGATAGAATCGGCTGACCAGGTACGGTGTGATTTCGTTGTCGGACACCGGCGACGCCGATCCCAGGTCGCACACTTTGAGGACATTGCGTTGCTCATTCACCAGGAGATTGTCCGGTTTCAGATCCGCATGCAGAATGTTGCACTTGCGCATCAGGCTCAGCCCAAGGAAGATCTGGTGCGCATACGCCCGGATGGCTCGGAGATTGAGGCCCACATCTCGTCCAAACTTCTTCAATACCTCTCGCAGGTTCATGCTGAGATTTTCAAACACCATGCACAGATGGCCTTTGTGGTCAAAGTACCGCACGAACTTGATCATGTGCTTCTTGTCTTCAGGGTCCGCCTCCATCAGCTGTTCCAGAATGCCGATCTCTTTCATACCCGCCTTCTTCATCGTATCATTCTGTCGAATGATCTTGACCGCAACCAGTCCGCCCGTTTTGGAATCTGTAGCTCGCACAACAGACGAAAACATCCCCTTGCCCAAATTCTGCTGCACATGATACCGGCCATTGATTAGCTCACCAAGTCGGACATTGTAATACCCTTCGGGGTCGTCCCAATTGTCCATCATGCTGATGTCTAGCTCCCGCGGTTGAGGTACAGCCGCTGCATGCGCCGAATCTGTTGGTTCCTGCGTTTCCTCGGAAAACATATCATCGTCATCCTCCGCAAACATATCGTAGGGATCTTTCGTCTTCGCCGGCGCAGGCGGTTTCTCAGTCGCATCAGGCATCAGAATATCCCGCTTGTCAGGCTGCGTCTCGTCATACGCGGCTGATGAGGTTTCCTGACTAGGACCTTGTTTCTCTCGATCTTCTTTCATATCAAGGGTCGGGTCATAGTCTGCTGCCGATGGTTCGTCCTTTTCAGCGCCATCTACAGGTGCAGTGTCGTTAATCAAATCAGCATCTTTGCCAACCTCGAAATCCGGGAACGGATCTGCCGTGTTTTCACCGGGCGTTTGGACGGGGGTTAACTGAGGAGAAACTATTTGAGATGTTAGTACGTTTAACTCGTCACCCACAAGAAAAAAGAGCATGCTTACCCGATGCAGTCTGGCTTGCACTGGCACGGTTTGAATCTGCGCCTGGTGTCGAAGAGTCGGAGTCCCCAGCGTGGACTGCCTGCAGGTGTAAAGGCGTAGCCTGACTCTTGTATTTCGCTCTGATGGCTTCACGTCGCTTCCGGCGGGCTTCCAGTTGAGCTGCTTCGTCGACTGCCTCGGCAGGTTGCTGTTCCTGTGGTTCAGTAGGCACACTGAGCTCGTTAGTATTGGCTTGACATGTTGATACATAAGGGCCTCGAACAACATACCTATCTACAACACGAGAACTGGCATGAGAAGCCTGTTGTTGCACCTGGTTCTCCCGAAATTCAGCATCTTGTTTAGAGGTCTGAGCGACGAATCGAACGCTTCCTCGTTCGCTCACTAACTGTTCAGTAGATGGCCTTTGTTCTTTGAAGCCTCGCGGGCCTGTGCTCCCATTCCACTCATCACCGGAATATTGCTTGGGTCTCCTAACCTCGTGGTACGAATCGCGGTACGGGGATCGACTCCGGTGCCGCTTCTCTTCACGACGGTCGTAGTCATCCGTGTATTTCAGACCACCACCGTACCCTTCTTCCCGATCATAATCGTAGTAGGAGTTAGATCGCCTATGATATCTGTCATCGTACCTCTGTTCTGCGCGCTGTCGCGGTAGCGGCGGCGGTTCCTGCCGATAGTATCGTCTGTCGTCATAATAATCATCCTCCCGCCTGCGCTTATTTCCTCTGTAGCTTCGATAAGGGGAGCGGGAACGACTTCTCGATGATCGCGACGTTTTGGATCTGGATCTTCGCCGGCGTGGCGATCGACTAGTACTCAGGGATGCTGGTGATCGGGACCTGGGCGCCGAAGAGGTACTGACTCTGGTTTGACGGTCAACGCTGGTGCCATTAAGAGAAGTTTTTGACGTAGTTGCCTTCATCTCCGAACCTGATTCGATGATCTCACCCTCAGAAGGGGTCGATGGAGACTTTGACCTGTATGATGCCATGGCCACAGGTGCTTAGACTCAGAACTTCCTTTTCAATCAACGGTATAGGAGTCCTTGAAGAAACCAAACGGGAAAGACACCAGCTCGGTTAGCAAAAGCTGCCACGATAACAAATTCTGGGGAATGGTGTATTGGAAAAGTCCAACCGGCTAGAAATGTCTGCCTTGATTCCACAGTCCCTCGCGTTCTCTTGTTGTAAGATTCGACCGCGGCTAAACAATGGGCCGTAAAAGCGTATCAAATTGAGTTAACTGATGATAGATGGACGATGGACGGAGAGATGAGCAGACTCCCGATCACCGAAGATAGACCGGCAAAGCAAAAGCACCTCTGGTCAGTAAGATTCGCCGTAGAGGTTTCCAATCTAGCCTTATCAGGGATAGCGCCCCACCCCGCGGGCGGAAACATGGTCGGTCGCCGATAAGCATCTTTTTTCTCACTTTTTTCTCTTCCTCCCCTCGATTATCTGCGACAAACTCCACGGACCTCATATCCCTCCTCCTTCTTCTCATAACACACAACATACAAAATGGGTGGCCAAGGCAGAGAAGGTTAGCAAACTATTGCGCATAATTCCCAACTCAATCGGAAACTAGCTAACGTTATCTGACCTGCTTACTAGGCGGCAAGATCAAGCCCCTTAAGGCTCCTAAGAAGTCGCAGAAGGACCTCGATGAAGATGATATCTCGTTCAAGGAGAAGCAAAAAGCCGGTATGTTCTTGCGCTGTTGACGTCTGTGTTGCAATTGTTGAGGCAGTCTGCTAACCTGTGTTGAAATTTTCAGAGGCTAAGGCGAAGAAGGATCTGCTGGACAAGGCCAAGGGCAAGGGTCCCTTGAACACGGGCTCCCAGGGTATTAAGAAGTCGGGAAAGAAATAAATTTGATACCCAGCGTTGTGTTATACTCAAGAATCACGATACTACGAGCTACGGATGAGCATTGGGATAATGGAGTACCAATCGCATTATTCGCTACGGCGATTGAGCAAGTTCTATTCTCGGTATAAATTTACAGGTTAATGTACCTTTCAGCTCTCTGCGCGAGAAGGAGGGCTACACGTCTCTTATGGAAAAGAATGGTTTCGTACTCCGTACACTTCTTTGAGCTTCAACATAAAACCAGATGACATTTTTCCAGACATGTCTTGGGTGAAATGAAAAGAAAAACTGGCTCTCCTAGATAACAAAAAGACAAATGGGGTATCACCAACGCCTTTCTCCATATTGCACAAAGAAAGGCCAACAAGCTCCGCAAGCACCCCCAAAGAAATAAGACCAAGTAAAAGAAGGGATTTGTTGTTTGCATCATTCTTGAAATAGAAGAAGGGTATCAGTGGGTAAGGAGATAGAAAAGGTCATGGTCCAGCCAGCAAAAACTTCCGCCGATGGGAAGTAAGGTAAAAAGTGAGGACAACGAGGGAATTAAGAAAAGGAATAGGAACCCGGGGCTCTCAGCTGGTCACCCGTTTAACCCATAGACCAGTCCCGCCGCCGTAGAGATCCTGGTCATCGCGTTTTTTCCAAGCCCGGAGAAGTTTCAAACCAACATCGTGCTCTTCTCTAACAATACCTGCAAGCTCGTTGTTGAGATGGGCAATCGTTTTCTTGACCTCCTCTCGGGCAGCCATATCATACGCCGTCGAGGTGGGTTGAAACACCTGGTTCAGTTCGCTGATTATTGTAGTAATGTTTGTTTTGCGCCGCGCGAGCGTACCCTGCCGTTCTTCCAATGCCTCTATGCGATTCTTTGGTTGTTGCTGTTCCTGTGGAGGAACGGGCGAAAGGCCTTTGGCTGCTGCTTCTTCTGCGGCTTGGATTGGAGTAGGCTTCCGAACTGGCTTCCTTCCCGGAGCCATTGTGCTGGGAACTGGTCGTTTCCTGGACATGATTGCTAAACCATTGTCGGTCGATTGCTGCGAGGCGCTTTCGATGCTGTCCGCTATGCTGCCTGGGGCTGGAGAACTGGTCCTACTATCCCCCATTCTTGCAGAGGTGTCCGTTGCGGCGCTGGAGCGACTCACGGGGAGCTCTGATTGGTCCGGCTGGTGTTCGTCGTTGGTAGGAAACGTGTCAGTAGTAGGAGTAGGAGCAGTTAGTTTGAATTCAGCCAGCGAAGTGTCCAAATCAGACATTGGCAGGTCAACTCGTGGCGGAGCGCTATTCTTGTAGCCTTCAGATACCGGCGGCTGCGAGCCTGCACTGGCGCTAGGAGCCCTGCTCCTGCTGGTTGATTGCTTCCGGGAACCTGCAGGTTTGTCCTGGGCTGTGATTGTGGTAACTACCGACGGCTGGAGGCGAGCTGTGGAGTCAGGTGCTTGGTCATACTCCCTCAGCCGGTCAAAGCTTCTGGAAGGATGCAAACGTGACGACGACTTTGCTCGGGGCTTCTCGTAAATTGGATCCATTATGGGCGCCCGTCCACTGGGTCCCCTCCATGGTTCGCTAGCAATGAAGGGAGACGCATCATCATTCTGCTTCGCAATCCGACTGCGCACCTCTGCGAATTTCTTCTTCGGCTGAAGCTGTTCCTTGCCCCAACTCAAGACGCGGGACGAATGACCGCCGAACTTGCCGGAGTTCTCCCGACTGTGACTGGATAACTTGTAAGATCGTTCGGGATTCGGTTCGAAATTCTCCTTGCGCGCGTTCTTGCGCAAAGTCGGGATGTGGCCGGCGAATTTCGTTTCCATTTGTTCAGCCTTGATACTGTCGTGCTGCGGTTCCTCCTCAATCGGCGAAATCTGAGCGCTGCCCCTACTGTCCAACCTGCGGTTCAAAGAGTTCGGGGTACCGGGAGGGGAGATATCCGGCGACGCAAGGTTACTATTATTCGGATCGCGATCGAAGTCAGTTTGGTCCGAGGGTAATTGAGAAGCGGCACTGCTCGCACGATGACGCGGGGGTTCGGCGGCTGCGAATCTTGTAAACGTCGCAGAGGCGCTCCGAGGCTTCGAATCGGGGTGTTTTCCGGGATGGGAGAGTTTTGGATCTTCGCTGGAAGCTGTTAGCGCCTTTTTTTATTATTTTTATGTTGTTTTCCTTGTCTGTAGGCTATCTGCCAACTTACTTTGGCAATATCGGTAGATCCTCTGAATAGTATCTCTGATCCCCCGATAGTGCGCTTGAAGACCGGTTTGGAGACCGATAGTCTCTCTGATTCAGAGAACTGGTGCTCGTCGTCGAATTCTCAATCGTAGCAGACTTTGCCCGATGAAAAGGCACTTTAGCCCACATGACGAGACTCGCGTAGGGACTGATTCAGAAAAAGTAAGAGGGTGGTCGGGCTAATTATAAGTATAGCTGGTGATTTCACGCTGCCCTCACCAGCACTCATAGTGACATACCTCTCAAGACTTTAGATCGCTATGACGGGCTGAACCACTACCACCCGAAGATATGCATCCAGCAGGTTACTGCCAATCGAAGAATGTATGCAGATGTATGGGATTTGCCGAAAAGAGGAATCTCAGATGCGTTCTTTCGAAGCGAGTTTGAGAGAGGTAAAATAGTATGAGAGAAACAGAGACACGGTTAACTATATACAATGAGAGAACAAAGAAGAAAGAGAGAAAGAAAGAAACAAGGTTCGGACGATTAAATTTGAAAGAGAGATATGAAACGAGCGACTTGGGCGAACAAGAGACCACCAAACCAGTATGCCTGACTGGGGGGCTGTGGGCGTGGGGATAAATGAGGTTGGTCGTAATAATGCCTTACCAGAAGGATTCAATGTGACAGCGTCATGGTGGCAAGAAAAGGAAAAGAAAAGGTCTCTTTCTCTTGCGAATTGAAATGAAAGTAACAAAAGGACCCTCCAAAATAGCAGGAGTTAATTAAACCCTACGATAAATTTAGACTTCTCTATGCCTGAGGCCCCTACTCCGGTACATGTAGTAGTAACTATGTAGTACTCTGTAGTCGTGCGCTAAATCACGTGCCCTCAGAGATCCCGGAATGGAATATACGACAGACGAAGCGGAATCGCCTATCTAGTAGCTAAACTAATTCTATCATACATGCTGGCAGAGGCTCCCTCGCGAGAGCTTGCCTAAAATTCTTGGGCCGCATACGCGGCAGCTCCGGTACATGAGTATATAGTGCCGCGGCATCGGTACTTAAGCCATCACGTGTCGTAGCAATGGCGGGAGTCGGGGAATCTTTCCTGATCTAGCATTATCAATAGAGCCGGTGTTGGACTCCGCGCTGCCAGAAGCGCCTCGGTCTTTCGTCATCACGGTTATTATCGACGCCCTCGCTCCGTTCCGCTCTCATTGTCCGTCTATCTTTTCTATCAAGCCAAAGCCAAACATCGCTTCAGATAACCTCAAACAATCTGCATAATGAACGCAGCAGGTGTGTCAATTGAAATCAAACTAAACTAACTACAATAGCTAATGTGTTCATACAGAGGAGCCCGTTCCATCGCCAACCGAAGCGTAAGCTTGAATTTCCAAGAAGCTCATCTAGGAAGAACAACAAAGCGAACTAACCAAACCGTCTTAGGATCCCGTTCTTCACTCCCGTCAATTTCATCCTCTTGTCCGTCTTTGTCGTTTTCCTCTACGTGCAGCTCCGCCCCAAGGCCCCCGTCACCCTGCCCCAAGGTCCACCTCCAGTTGTCTTCCGCACTTTCATCCCCTCAACACTCATCGAATTCAACGGTGAGGGCGAAAACCCTTGCTACCTTGCCGTGCGTGGCCGTGTTTTCGATGTAACACCAGGAAAGAGCTTTTACGGGCCGGTAAGTTGCCTTTTGCAAAACAGCGGGATATGAGTGGTCAGATGATTAACGAAGGACTTTGTCGATCTTAGGGCGGCCCCTATGAAAACTTTGCCGGACGCGACGCTTCGCGCGGACTGGCTTTCCAGAGCTTTGACAGGGATATGCTCACTGAGGATCTCAAGGCACCTCTGGATGAACTGAAAGACCTTAATGAGGACCAGTTGGAGAACCTCCAGAACTGGGAGGAGCGGTTCCTCGAGAAGTATCTGGTTGTTGGGAAACTGGTCGCTGAAGGTGATCCGGAGGCTCCGAAGACATAAAATGGGCCTGGCCTGGCCTGGCCTGGCCCTGTTTTGGCTTCACTCGATATGCCATCTACAAGGATGCCATTGGACGTGTCGTATGGTGGCGGTCATATCACCTGTCTATGTGTCAAGTTGTTTTCATAACTCATTTCGGTTTATGTGCAAGCGACAATCTTTATCAATTTATCTCGAGGAAACTAAACCAGGCCACATTGTAAAGAACGATTCAATCATAATTCACAAAATAATTATACAATTTTTCCTATCATGCCCTAGCTAGTAATGAGAACATTCATTATAATAAAGACACTACTCATGAGCACCGAAATCGTAAACATCATAAATCCAAAAATACATATCGAACATGTTTTGACCCCAACAATCCAAAAACATCATAGGAGGGAAAAGCGTTACAGCTCAGAGCGAATACCGCTAACCGCTTCCGAAGACCTATCCTTCGCCTTCTCCGCAACTTCCTGTCCCTGAACTCTTCCACTCGAAGCCCCGATCTTCAACTGATCCAGGAGCCACTGATACGTATCCTGGAGCTTGGCATACAAAGTGCCCTGAGAAGAGGTAGTTCCGTACTTGAAGTACTGGGAGTTACGACGAGCAGTGGCCTTCAGTTCATTGGCGTTAGAGCCCTGGTAGACGGGGATACCGAATGAGTCAAGGTAGGCTTTAAGCTCGGAGTGGGACCAGGTATCGAAAGTGTCGTCCTTGGCTGTTTGGGTGGCTTGCGCCATGTAGGAGGTAGCAGAGGCCAGGTTCTGGCCTCCGGCCTTGGAGGCTTTAGAGTAGGCATCCTGCGCTTGTTTCATGAGGTCGTCACGGGTGGAGTCGGCGCGCTGCGCTGCCTTGGCGTTCATCGAAGTCAGGTATTGCCTGTAGACATGATTAGATGGGTGTTGAATGATAATATAATCGGTATCAACTTACTTCAAGTGCTCAATGTCCCAGGTCTCAAAAGTCCAGGCGTTCCAGGCACTGGCGGCCTTGTTCTTGTTTGCCCTAACCTTCGCCAAAAGCTCATCACGTTTGGTGGCCTGCGGGACAGAGATTCCTCGTGCGTCCAGGTATGCCTTGAGGCGCGAGTTGGACCAGTTCTGAACGGCAGCGTCAAACGCTTCCTGAACCTTGCTCTGGGCGTCATCAGTTGCCTGTGCGTAATCGTTTCCAGCCTTGGTAGTACCGGCTCCCACAAGACGCGAAGCTGATGCCGAAGCCGTAGATGCTTGGCTCAGCAGGGAGGCGCGGTTCTTCCTCGCCAAAGCGATCATTTCATTACGTCTGGAACCCTGCGGCACCGGGATTGCATGCTCATCCAGGAACCTCTTCAGGTCGGAATCAGACCACGCACTGAACAACGCATCGCTCAGGGTAGCCTGAGCTGCATCAGCAGAAACAGACGCGGAAGCAGAAATGGTCCGAGCTTGGATACTGGCTAATCTAGCATTGCGACGCACGGATGCGATGAGCTTGTCACGGGTCGATGGTTGAGGCACAGGCCATCCACGCTCATCAAGCCATTCCTTCAGCTCGGACTCGCTCCATGTAGCGAAGAGCCAGTTACCAGGGTAGGAAGCTTTCTCACCAAGTTTCTTCGCAATAGGCTCGTAGTTTTCACGAGCAGTGCTAATAAGGACGTCCCGCTTGCGTGGCTGAGGGACCGGAACGCCATGCCGGTCGAGGAACGCCTTGATCTGGGAGTCGGACCAGCTGTTGGGACAATGAGCAATGGTCCAACGCTTCGTTTGTAGATGAGTGTACTCACCTATCGAAAACCCATTCCTTGGCATGATGCCACTGGTCTGAGGCCTGCTCGGAGATATGTCCGAGGGGCTTTTGGACTTTGTCGTCCCAATTCGTTTTCACCAAGCCTTCAAGATCTCTGCGATCCGCAGGCGACGGATACGGGACATCGTGGTCAGAGAGCCACCGCTCTAGCTCTGTTTCATGCCATCCATTGTATACTGCAAGTTTATGTTATCAGCAAATGAGTCCTACGTTGGAAAAGTACAAGTTCTAGTTTGTGTACATACCAGCTTTGCTAAACCAGTTGGCCGCCTCCGTGGTCGTAAGGAGCAACACCAAGCTGGAAGCCCAGTTGAATCTCATCCTGGCGCAATGTTTGTGCCTCTATTTGAGGGCTTTTATAGCAAGTATAGTTTTTGCTTTCACAGTCCTGACTGAGAGCGATTACACAGTTAATCATCCGAGAAGCTCCAATGAGAAGGATAAAGGATATAACACTCACAGATATATAATCTAGCTAAGTATTCCCAGCTAGTAGTAGTTCATGGCAAAATGCATAGAAGAAAATGGCAGCGGTGGCAGTTAAGTATGAAGAGCGGATGATCAGACAGTGACGTATTGCTGTTGTCGCCGGTTTTATGAAACGATGGGTGCTGGCGTCATCGGATGCTTATTTGCAGTGTAGTGGCTTTGTTGTCGCTCTTGGCCTTAAACAATGAATAGATCTGCTCCCAGCAATTGCTGGTTTTCTTTCCTCTGGTGGCTTTTCGCCGGTAGATTTGATAGAATCCCTGGCTGATCACTGGAGAATGACTGATGCCATCGCTTCCTATTTGGGTAAGCAGCTAGAGCTCTTATCTTCACATGACCTAGCGATAAGCACCAAACATGATAAGTCAGGTGCTGCTGGATCACCTGACTGCCCGACAACGCCATCAGATGAGCTGTTGGTGTAGTTTCATTTCTATTCAAGAATCAACTTTTCATGCTGTGACAACTCATCTGCTTTTTCCTTTCATGCTGGGCATGATGTTGGTTTAGTTGTTAAACCTTCTTTATTCGCTTGCTGGTCAAGACAGACGATCCCCTATCTCATTATCTCCTCTTTTAACGCCATCGTTATCAAGGGTCCCCAGTCTCAAAAGTAGCGGTCTCTTTCATCCGATCTTCCTACCCTTTATTTCTTTCTTTAAGAAGACGAGATATCCTGCTTCAATCCGGATATTGAATAGAATAGTGCATTTCGTCCTGACCTTTCATCACCCAAACAATGAACGATAACTTGACCCCCCATTGCGCGGACCTAGCATCCGCTAGTTCTTGGAACTTCGCGTTGTCCATGTATGATCGATTCTTTCTTACATACCTCCAAGAATAGATTGCTAAACAGATTCGAAATTCCATAGTTTGATCCTCATCGGAATCCTTATTTCCTACCTCCCTCAGCATCTCCGCATAATCTCCCTGAAGAGTTCCTTCGGTATCTCTCCTTACTTCGTCCTGCTGGGCACGACGTCTACATCGTCATCTTTGGCAAACATCCTTGTGCTCCCACGAAGCATCCAGGATGCGTCATGCTGTAGGGAGGTTGATGGATTGAGCTGCTTTTCGGCGCTGCTGGGCATCCTCCAGGTTGGGGTTCAGTGGCTCTGTTTCTTTACCATGTAAGTCAGGGCTGATCGAGTCTTCAAGCCTGGAACAGTATTGACACAAGTGCGTCGATTATAGTCTCTTCCTCTTCGTCATCTACTTCCCACGGGCCACATCTACAACGACCCCAGACACCTCCGAAACTTCCTCCAAAGAAGGTGATGGTCCAACATACCGCACCGCCCTAGCCGTAGCAGGCCTCTCCATAGTCCACATCGTCGTCCTCTTCATAATCTCCCTTGTCTTCGAGCTCAGAAACCGCTCGTCACTCCAAGCATGGGCCAATTTCCTAGGTATCCTCGCCGCAGTCCTCTCCTCGATCCAATACTTCCCGCAGATCCACACGACCCTCAAGCTCCGGTGCGTGGGCAGTCTAAGTATACCGATGATGTGCATTCAAACGCCCGGGAGCTTGGTTTTCGCGGGTAGTCTGGCAGCGCGACTGGGATCGGAGGGGTGGAGTACCTGGGGGGTGTTTGTTGTGACGGCGTTCCTGCAGGGGACGTTGCTTTTCCTGGCTATATACTTTGAGTATTTTGGTCCGGAGAAGAAGGAGGGTCAGACCCATAGTGCAGATGTTGTTCCGAATGGGTCTGTGGAGGATCGCGAGGATCACCAGACTGATGATCAGCCATCTGAGGACACTCCTCTTTTGCAGAGGCAATTATGAGTTGGTTCAACCTAAAATGGTTGAAGACTTTCTGCAGCGAGACATTAAAAGCGATATACACTTTGTTTCAACCACATGGACTTTGGTTTTGTATGTACATTTAAAAGACAGGTCTACGAACATTCCCATATCAGACTGACGATAAAAAGATAAAAAGATCTACTATAAACGAAGCCAATCTTGCGAATAATCAATTGGTTTCTAAAATGAGACTATTGTTTCATGCACGGTCGTATCTCCAGAACGGAGTGTAAAGTAAGAACAGCTTAATGATCCTTGATTGTTTGACGCTTCAAATTTTTTCTTCAACCGACTATAGATCCATCATCTGCGATTCCATTTATCCGTAGACCAGGCGGAAGATGTCGTTGAAGACAAAGTAGCTGCCGCTGCCGTCGGGCTGGAGCTGGAAGGTCTGGGTGTAGTTCATGGGGCGCTGCTCCTCATCGATCTGTATCCCGAGAATTCATAATTAGTTCGAGTACGCGAAAACATTCTAGGACGGTAGGAGACGGGGCTATACCAGAAGAGCACCGGTGACCATGACCAAGATACCGCCCTGCTCGTTGGAAGGCTGAGCGTCAAGGGTCGAAACCTGGTGAGCGACCTTGGCAAAGGGAAGGCTCTGGAACCGAGTCAGCGTCGTTCCGCATACATAAACAAGATTCCACGAGTAGGCGAGCATACAATTAACTTCTCGGCAATGGGACCAGAACCCTGAAGCGACTCGGTCTCGAAGGTGAGCATAGAATGCTCACGCTGTAGCATTCCAGCCGTCAGTATTTAATCACTTTTCGCAACACCATGTGTTTTGTATCCATCGAGGGTTCAGCGTACGTAGAGACCAGAGAGGTTGCCCCGGGCATTGTCGAAGGTGTTGTAGTAGAACTGGACGAACTGCTCTGTTGTTGCGTGACCGTGTCAGATTTTTTATTCCTTCCATCCATGTACTCATCTCCACATATTGCTGCGGCGTCTTATCGATGACCGTGGAGACCGAGGATGTCACGTACCAGCGATGTTTCTGAAGTCTATAACAAGAAAATGAAAAGTATGTTAGCTTATATCCATATATAATGCACTAGATCATTTGCGCATATGCGACTATACTGCATCACAGATTCCAGGCGTGGGGGGAGGCTGAGGAGGGGCAGCAAAACAAAACGAAGGGCGCACATTTCGCATCGCGATAAACGAGCAAAGAACTTACCGGCCATTTTGTAGAGATGAGGACGTGTGTCTGTGTCTAGAAGAGATCAAAAGGACAGAAAAAACTGAGGGTATATGGATGGGATGCGAAATGAGAGGGGGAGAAGAGAAAAGAGAGGAGAGGCAGTGATTGTATTTGGCGGAATTGTGGGGCAGAAAAGAAGCGCCGCCCAACAGGGTTACAACATTCTAGAAAAGCATGGTTAGCTGCCGTATAGGATGTGAAATATAAACTATCATTATTCTCATGATCCGCCCAATATAATAGAATACTACAACTATTCTGGGTCAGAGTCTGCGAACATGTCCTCTGCCTTGGGTCGTGGCTTTCGCGCAGGACGCTGAGGTTCCGGTGCTGGCTCTTGCTGCTCAAATGGCTTATCCTCAGACCCCTCTCCCTTCTGATCCGGCGGCTCATCTTCCATAGGTTCGCCGTCTGGTGCTTCTTCCTCCAGATCACTGTCCTCCATGGGAACACCGTCAATGTCACTCATCAACTCCCCATCAAAGTCCGCCTGGCTAGTAGAAGTAACCCGTTCCTGGTCGATATCCATCCGGGTCGGGTCCATGACGGGAGGTCGACTGGGGTCAAATTTCCCTGTTGCTGCTGCCGCCTCCTCATCAAGACTCTTCCACCTACTCTTCCCCTTGGCAAATGCGTTGGAAGCCCGTTCAGCCTCTGCTTTCTCTCTTTCCTCGCGTTGCTCTTCTTCGGTAAGCGGTGGTTTATCGAATACTTGTGCGAAGTGTTCTTGGCTTCCCTGAGGGAAAACACACCATCCTTCCCACAGGTGTAAGAGGTTTTCAATGCTTCGTTTCCACTTCTCTGCCTTGAGTCGACCCCATTTCAGATCTTTCTCCAGTTGCCCAAGATGCTCAAAAACTTGATTTGATTTGAGTGCTGATTCGAAGAGTTGTCTGTATCTCCATGCGTGCCGGACGCCGCTAGTAGCTGAAGATGAGAGGATATCAGAAATAAGGTACAAGCCAACAAGCTTAGCAGCCGATGTATCCACTTTGGAGGATAACGGTCGAGTTTGAGTCGGTTTCTCGTTCGATCCGTTGTCATCGTTAAGGTCCTCCCCTCTTGCAATGTCCTTTTCGATTTCACGATCCGGGTTCGCTCCTGTGTAAGCAAGAGGACTGAGGATGTTGGAAACAATCATTTGGACAACTTCATCGGCACCCGCTCCCGCGTGTTCGATCGCAAATGCTGTGATACGTGCAACATCGCCTTTCCGTAACTTTGCATGGGTTGTAGGTAGTCGAGCAAGAAGATGCGTTAACTTGGCTTTTTGAAGAGGATTCATGTAACCCGATCCTTCGTTGGCACCGCCTAATCCATCAGCTGATGGTGCGCTACCAGCGTTCCGCCTGTCTTCTTCTGTATCAGAGTGTTCCTCGTCAGAGGAATTGTAGTCCTCATCCGAGACAAACTCGTCCATGCGGGTGGTATATTCGAATTTGGTATTCGTCTCCGGAAGGAGCCAGCTCGGCCCATCTTCGAAGATCATTGAGGCTTTCTCGGAAGTCCTTCGCCTAGCCTCTCTGGACTGGGTGTTAGTTAGGATCTCCCATAGCTTCCATCGATAGTAAACACCACCAGGGCTCCTGGGATCCCAGAGCCAGGCCCATTTCTCCTCTCTTTGTACTTCCGGTCTGCTCATGAGTAGTGCTTCGAATTCCGGGCCAAAGTCCAGCAAGTTCTCCAAAGTCTTGTGAATCAATTTGAGTTGTTTTAGGTCTGATGGTGTTTTCACTTCGACCCGTGTTGACGGCCCACCTCTACCGTATGCTGGGCCATATGAAGACGGAGGAGCGAATCCACGAGAACCAGGCGGCGGGGCACGACTCAGACTTCCCCCAGGGTTTTGTGGGATGTTTTTGGCGCCGAATGGAAGGGATGTTGTCGATGACAGACCGATAGTCACTGGCATAGAGGAGCTGATTGCGGCTGAAGAGAGATGGCGAGTGATAGAGAGATTGTACCCCCAGCCTAGATATTTATTCTGAAGTGCGCTAACAGCGCTGTCTATATCCGACGCTGCAGACTCATTCACCAGAGTCACAATAGCGGACACCGATTTTCGATCCGTCGATGATTGACTGGGCGGTCGTAGAATCTTGACACCATCAACAACCAAAGTCGACGGAATCAACGACTTAATCACCGACGGAGACGTCCCAGGAGGTAAAGATGCCAGATACAACGTAGGCTTAGCAGCCGCCCTCTCAGCCTCCTTCGCATCTGTAGTCCTTTCCTCCTCGTCGTCCGAAGCACCAAATGCCGCAGCCGGTCCGGTACTCGTATTACCAAATCCCAAAACCCCAGACCCTGAGTCCCGATTCAGCTGAGAGGAAGGAAATCCATCGTGCGTGCGTTTTCGAGAAAGCGACGGCGGAGGTGGTCCCAGAGTCCCGGGACCGCTACTGCGCGGACCGGAGCTGGTGAAATGTCGTTTTGCAGGACCTCCAAACCCCGAATTCCTATTATTATTGAAATTCCCCGGCTTATTCACCCTTCCCTCTGTCGGAAATCGACCTGGTGTCTGGTTGTCATCTTCGAATGACTTGACAAAGTCCTCGTAAACGGCGGCGGTCTCGGCTTGTTCGCGGGCACGCTTTGCCTCTGCTTCGGCTTTCTGGCGTTCGAAGACGGATTTCTTGGGGAGCGCGGAAAGTTTGGCGGATATATCGGGGAAGCCTTTTGATTTGGAATCGTCAGGCATTCTGGTGGAAGCTGCGATACGCAGCGATAAGTGTCGTGCGGGCGCTTGCGACTGAGTGTTGGAGGTTGGACGGGCGGCGGTCTCAATTAGGACTGCTGCGTTGGGGCGGGAGCGGAAAATCATCCGCTGTCTATCATTCTTGCACCTGAATGGCCGACATATAAGCAAGCTTCTAATTTGCTATCAATATTCTTTATTGTTTTTAGAGGGCTTAATCTGTGGTTGTTATTTCTTTGATACCAGAGACACAGTATTGGCTACTGTGGACTTGCTCATATAGAGACAACTCGTTATATGGACTATCCTATTCAAGAACGATACTCTGTAATCCTCCAAGAATTTTCGGTTTAAAGCTCATAGCTATCCATGATATCTCCAATAGGAAGTGACCGCAAAATAACAGACAACTGCTGAAACTGATGGTCAGATCCCAGCGCTACTTCCATCATTCAGGCATTGCCCTTTACCAATTTCATACAGAAGTACCTTGAGTATAATTCAGGAAAGATGGAAGATGTTTGTCGTATTCGTGGGCAGAGACGTCTCAGCGCCGGTCAATCGTTAAGATATCACTGACATCTTCATGTCTTTTTCTCATCACTAAAATTTCAAGCCGTTTCAATCTCCAGAAAAGACCTGCGGCTATTATCGGACAGTTGTTCTGTATGATGACATGCTTCGTTTCCGAATTGACAGGCTTGTGAGACCTAGTCCAGCATTCAGAGCAGAGAGTCGTCGTGTTTCGTGCCAGGCCCGCGAGGAGGATTCAATTCCTTGTTTTCAAATGGATCATGGTCTCTCGCACAACCAAGGATACCAGATAAAACGTTCTCGATTTGTATTCCAATTGGAGCATCAGAGGAACAAGACACGGCCTTATGGCACGGCATGGAATTTTCTGTCCCACCGTTTCTTTCTAGTGGGTGGGTTCAGAAACGGTACCGGTATTACCTTGCACGATTGTTTGGTGTTCCATCTGACTTTTGGGTCGCAATAGATCCAACCCATGAAACCGTCTTGTGGTTCCATTGCTCAGCGATAAGATTGACAGACTTTACTCCGTACATGGAGACTTGTTCCTTGCAGAACCAGTGATGCACCGTTGCCGCAAACTTTGGGATACAGTATCCATACGGAAGGGCTCCGAGGACCCAGTCCGGTAGTTTGTCGGCATTGTATGGAGCACGGAGTACCATAGGCTTTTTTGGTCAGGAGCCGGTGGTAACATGTTGCAACTAGTACCAGTGAGACAGGAGTTGCGAGGGAGGGAGAGAACAAAGAAAATATAATAAAGTAGGAGAGGGAACAGGGAAGACAAAGTAGTATTGACTTTGACCTTGTTTATCGCAATACAGCCTATTATGGAGGCGATGAAGTGATGAACCGCAGATTGCCGATCTTTTCAAGCTTCACGATCCGGACGTGCACTCTGATACGCGAATTCTATGTTCTCAGGAGAGGCAGCAACCATAATACTACTAGAGGCTATTGTTCTCGACCTCCGGTACCAGGTCGAGCCTTTCTAAACCAGTACATAGCACCTTCACGTACCATGGTCAGTACAACGACGCGAGCAGGATATGGAGACCGAACACATTTTGTGGCTTCCATGCGGTTATCGAAGCGACCAGTGGGCCATTTAGCCTGTGCTATTCGTCCATCGGCCGTCCCTGACCAAGTCTGCAGGGTCCCGACAGAGGGTTTTTCCGGTCATTTCACTTGCACAGAGCCTATGTTTGCCGAATCCGGCGGGGATGGGATTGCAAACAGGAATGAATATCAACCAGTAGTATACACGCAATTCACATAGCAGAGATTCATTATTTGGTTGAGATGTATGACATCGATTAGAAAGAAAAAGAATGATTGGCAGCGATGCGAAACAACAGTTTTGCGATACATGCCTGTACCGTGCAGAGCAGGATCAATTATTGGTCTAGAGAAGCTCGGGAGCATTCATGATTCGCTCGCCCTGCACCGCCATGTATTTATAGAAGCACTGATTCGCCTTCACAAGAATAACTGATACATATAAATTAGAGTATACTCTGCATACAGAATATACGGAATAAAATTAATGTAGCATCTTGAAGTATTCTGTACTTTGCGAACTTGTATGAATGCAGTGAAAGTGGCGAACTATACTTGTAGGAATTGGTGGTGATACTGGTATGATAGCCTGTATTTTTTTGGTAATACCCGCCCGTATGTAATCTATCAATGTAATCTATCATGACGATACACCACAGTAGATCAGGCACAGTCAATCCAATCGAAGAAGAATAGAAGACTACACAGTAATGATCATGGTATTAACAACATTGTGAATATTCCCTTGATTTTATCCCGATTTTTCTGACTGCTCTACATACTTTTCTCTTACTCTGACCCAAGTGAAAGCCCATAATTTGTGCACCAAAAGACTGAGTCGCTAGTTTCGTCGCCGCCCAGTTAGGTTTAGCCTGTCTTTCTCTCCACCCATCCTTTCTCTCTCTCCCTCTCTCAACTCTCTCAACTCCCTCCGTCTCTCTCTACAGCCTCTTGAACGCCCTCAACTCACCAAGCAGATATTATATCATTATCGTCAGTTATCTTCTGGTTTTCTTATCGAAATTCACGACTCTCATTTCTCGATCGTACGGTCGATTACCCAACCGCCTTTCTACTATTGAATCGCCCCATCTTCGCTCCCGTCGCCTCCCGACCGACCGACCGACCGTCTAAACCCCCAACCTCCAGTCTTTTGCCTACGCCTAGGTGACTGACTGCTTTTATCTCCTTTTGAAGGACTGACCGGACCAAATACCCAGGAGGCCCGACAGGGCTGTGCGTAAACGCCATGTCTGGGCGACTACCTTCCGACCATTCTCGTTCGCTCTCGCGATCCTCTCAATCTCAGCGCGAGTCTTTCCAAGGCCAGGATACCGATTCAATGCATCGTAATACCCCTCCCGGTCAATCCGCAAACCCCAATGTTTTCTCGGATGAATACTCGCTGGAACCGATCGATTCTGAGCAAACCACCCTCACTCCTCGAAGTCCTTCCATTTCCTCGATCGCCTCCTCTCATACTCTCCGTACGAACCAGCCGCCTCCTGGGAAACCATACGACGACTCATCAAATGAATTGCAATCAGCAGAAGATCCTTTTGGCGATGAGGCCCGTGTATCCTTCGACGATCCGAACCGGTCGAGTTTGCCCCAGAAAGGGGTGCTGGACGCCTCCCACAACAACCGCGATTCAATAGCCTCCATTAATACCAACACTCCTTCCATTACGCAGCGCAGTCAGAGCACCTCTTCCCGTTTCTCGATGCCCCCAAGAGCCCTAAGTCCTTACACCGGGGCCACCGGTCCTAGTCATCCCTACGCCATGTATCCTCAAGTTGGTGTCAGTCGTTCTCCGAGTGTGACGACGACTTCAACAGTTCGCCCCATGGACCGTCCTCTAGGAGATACGACCGCGCCGCAACATCCCTATGCCATGTATTCGCAGAATGTTGTGCTAGAGGAAGGCCTTGATACTCCCATAGACTCCCCCTTGGCAGGCGCCATCGCAACTCCCCTAACTAATCCAACTGTGATACCCCTCGGCTTTCCCGGACATAATCAAGCCTACCAAAGGCCACCAGGTCGTGCAGATGATGATGTGGGGGATCTTATTGGTCCCGATGGACACACAGAGCAACTTCCTCCTTACTCCCGTTATCCCGAGAATGCGGCTCCAAAGATTGAAGGTGGATTTGTTGAGCCCATTGGCGAGGCTGAAGTCCCGCGTGATGAAATTCCGAATGCTACTGGTGGTCTCGAGCAAGGGGTAGGGGTCCAGCAAATGTCGGATGTGTCATCGAGGACGATGCTGCCGGAACAACAAGCAGCGAATGATAACAACAACATCATCAACAGCAATGACAATGACAATAACAACAATAACGGCGATCAAGGGAACAATGCCGGTGCCGAAACAGCTCCTGTTTCAGGCGTCATGGCGTTTGAGGAGAAATTGAAAAGCAAGGGCAAAAAAAGGGCTTGTTGCGGGCTGCCTGTATGGACGATCGTTTTAGTCGTGACTGTCATGGTGGTGGCAGCCAGTATTGGTGGTGCCATTGGCGGGGTGCTAGGAGCACGGAAAGCGGCAGACGAGGAGAAATCAAAGCCAAAGGGACCCAACATTGTCACCGTAACCGCGACACCCAAATCGGATGCGACCCCAATATCGACTATCCCAGCTAGACTCAAGTCTATCCCCACTGGCTCATACATAATTCCGGCCGATCTCAGGAATCAGTCTAAGTTCTGCATCTCCGATCCAGATTACAGAATGGCGTGGAGTTGCCAGTCGCAGGGTGGAATCCCTATTGAGGTTGATGGGAACAGTAGTAGACACACCGTCACCTTTCCTTCTCAGCCTTTTGATCCGTCGTCCATGTCATACGGTGCTCAGGCACCACTCTTGAACGATCAAACACAGTCGTTGAGTTATGTGATGGACACTAGCGATTACAGCATGGGCCCGGCTCTGTTTTTCTACGCCTTGTTTGATAAATTGGTCGTTCTCCCTCAGGACACATTTTCGTCAAGCTCGGTGTCGTCATCATCGTCGTCGAAGCGATCAATCTCTGAATCGGACATTTTGGCTAGTTCGCTCAGTCGGAAGCAGGCGACACAGACTGGCGAGAAGCCTTGGTTTTGTTGGTGGAATGCCACAGTCTTGGAGTTCTTCCTCTACGTCAATGAGACAAGTCGAGAGTCTCACTATAGTTCCACTGCCACATTGACGTACGACACGGCCACCGAGACCCCCAGCTACGGCGCTACAACACAGAGCAGCGATCTTCCCAGTTATCCTCGCAGAATCAAGATCGGGGAGAAACGTGACTACCCAGAGGCTAGGGCACCCTACTGCCAACAAATGGAAGTGCTGGGCAGTGGAGATGTTCGTACATATTCTCCAGCTACGATTCAAGTCCACGAGGTCGAACCGACCCCGACAACAACACTCAAGGGCGATGGCAGTGCTACCCAGACATATACCGCAAAAGCGGAATATGAAAGCGCGTGTTATTGTGCCTCTTTGACTGATTAGTTCACCAAGCTATGACGATACTTTCTCATACCTCTGGCCTTTTTTCCTCGAAAAGAAGTATCAGCAAGGATAAAGAGCATGCATCATCGTACCAAAAAAGGGTTGCCTCTGGGAGTCATGGCGTCGGCGTTATCAAAGGGCGGTTTCGGAAACAGCTGCAATCTTTCTTTTTAATGTGCATACGAACGATTGACATAGTGTTCTGTTGCGTGTCTTGATTTGATTATTCCTTTTTCTCATTTTGACTATGGCGTCTCTTGGCTTTTAACATCCATCTGTTCCTTTCTATGGCTTCGCATCATTCTGTTGCTTAACGACGCGGCTAGGTTTGAGCTTTTTCTTCTTTTTTTCACATTTCTCTTCCCAGGGACTTGAGCTTTGTTTCTTATTATTATCTGCGAGACAGATTCTGACGGCGTTTATCGGGGAAAGGCGTGGTGCGGCCCAGGCACTTTCGGAATTGGCCAAGCACTGTCTATCGTTTATGTCATTGCTCTTTTAGTCTCTTCATCGGAGATATTGATCGATTTCGATCCAATGAATGGGTTTACATACACTTGTCGTTTTCAGTAAACTTATACGTAGTCTTGGTACTTGTACGCCAGCTTGGTACTTGTACTCCAGCTTAGCCCAAAGGGGCAACCATCGTCTACTCTACTTGGGATATATTCTTATGAGCGCTTATTCATTTTCTATAATTTATAGTGCCTTTCTCTTCCATTGCTCCGGGTTCCTGTTCTGGCTGGTTGATGAAACGAAGGATTGACGAGCATGACACAGTTGGAACGTCATCGCCGTTGGCGTCAAATACGCCACCAGAACGACTACCCGTTATAGTATAATAAGAATAATCACTTCTCTCTTTCATCATTCATGAAAAAGCAATTGCTCCGTTTTACAATTGAGCACAACGGACCTACAACCGTTTACAACTATCTACAACAGAACAACGACGGATAACCACCACATCAACCGTCCACGATGAACCCAATTCCGAGAGCATACTCTCTTCTGAGGACGACCAACGTCCCAATGCTTCGTGCTGTCTCCCGAACAACCATCCAACCTCCCTCATTGCGATTCTACGGCCAAAGCGCCTACGGAGGATACGAGAAAAGCCCTGCGAAATCTGACATTTCACGCGCAAAGGAGCATCCAGGTAAGTCTACCCCATCTATCCATCCATGCATCTACGAATAACTCTAACGTCTGTAACAGGCCCCCCACCCCCCAACACCAAATCCTCCTCAACTTCCTCTCAAGAATCAACCGGCGGCTCCAGCCCAATGTCCCCCTCCTCCCCCTCCCGCTCCGACCCTCAAACCGAAGCCGAATCCCAGCAACCCTACTCCTCAACTGCACCAAACGCACCGAAGGACCCCGAGAAGTCTGAGGGACACCAGATCCAGCGCGAGCCGTCGAACAAGGCGCATCCGACTATTACTACTGGGAAGCAGTCGCCGAATGTGGATGAGGAGGGACATCCTCGAAAGGATATCCCGGAGGAGGTGAAGAAGCATAACAGGGAGGTTGAGCAGAGGCATGATCGGTCGTATAATCAGATTACGGATGAGGGGAAGGTGCAAAAGGGGTTTTAACTTAGGAGAAGAGATGGATGAGGATGGAGTGGTATGTGTGAATCTTTGTTGATATACCCTGGTGGGGGTTTGTTTTACATTGGGATATGTCTAATTACTACTGGTTGGAGTTAATGCTAAATGAATGTCCAATTTGCGTCATTGTCCGGTCATCTGTAACTAGGGAAAATAGTTGCCTTGATGCCTTGTAAACCAGGCAGAATACCTGTTCGGTAACTAACTACTCTGTAGTTAATCCAGGCGCAGCAGTGGCCGATCGCATATATTTAATTGCTTAAATGATTGAAATAAGAGCGCCTTCATGTTGGATTTAGGTACATAGAAGTAAACATCTCATTATTGGTCCAACCAGAAACAAGTCACGTTGTCTGGTACCTTAATGGCCGAACGCGGATCCTCCGTTCTCCGCTCAAACAAGCTGTCTCGATCTCGCTCAGGAGTCCGTTCTTTGATTACCGCAACTCCCCGTTCCATTGCTGCACGCGCTTGTCTTTGCTATACCTGATTTACTTGGCTTGATTGAATAATTTGTTAATTACCAGTCAAAATGGGCGCCACGAAGAACAAGTACTCCGTCATTCTCCCGACCTACAATGAGCGGCGCAACCTCCCTATTATGTGCTGGCTTCTGGAGAGGACGTTCCGGGACAAGTATGATCTTCCCACTCTTTGTTTTGTGTTTATCGGCATGCCAATTGAACTCCTGCTAACGTAATTGTGTCCAGCAACCTCGACTGGGAAGTAATCATCGTCGACGACGGTTCCCCTGACGGCACCCTCGAAGTCGCTAAACAACTGCAAACCCTCTTTGGCCCCGAACATATCGTCCTCAAGCCACGCGCCGGCAAACTCGGTCTCGGAACCGCCTACGTGCACGGCCTGCAATTCGCCACAGGCAACTTCGTCATCATCATGGACGCCGACTTCAGCCACCACCCCAAGTTCATCCCCGTCATGGTGGGCATCCAGAAGGAGACGGATGCGGATATTGTCACGGGGACCCGGTACGCGAGCCGCAACGAAATCAAGGGCGGTGTTTACGGATGGGATTTGTTCCGGAAGTTCACGTCGCGGACGGCCAATTTGATTGCGGATGTCATGCTCATGCCTGGTGTGAGTGATTTGACGGGGAGCTTCCGGTTGTATAAGAAGAGTGTGTTGGAGAAGGTGATTCATAGTACGCAGAGTAAGGGGTACAGTTTCCAGATGGAGATGATGGTGCGGGCCAAGGCGATGGGGTACAAGGTTGCTGAGTGTCCGATTACTTTTGTGGATCGGTTGTATGGAGAGAGTAAGTTGGGTGGCTCGGAGATTGTGGAGTACTTGAAGGGTGTGTTTTCGTTGTGGTTGAAGGTTTAACTTGTCTTCCCCTGGCATCCCTATTGCCATGGAGGTTGATTTATATACCCGTTTGATCCGGTGTTTCTGTTCATGGTTTATTGGCTCAGGATTTCATGTTCCGTTTCTTAGTATGTACACTAGAGTTAAAAAATAATCTGCGCCTGGACTTCTTCAAAGACTGGTCAAGTAACGAGTCACCCGAGCAATCAGTTCATCCTGTCCTTCAGCCTTGACATTGTGACTGGCACCCGGAATCACCGCACTGCCCTCGGAATCATACTTCTCAACACCTCCAGCATTCGCAGCCTCCTTCCATCTCTGCATCAGCTTCGCCTTATCAACCCACGGCGCCCCATACTCATCATTGCCCGAGTACAAGAACATCATCTTCGTCTTCAGCAGTCCCCGTTCCGCAACAACCCCAAAAGTCTCCTTCAGCCTCTGGTCCGTCAAATCAGAACTAAACAAGTCATCCTCCGCGGGATTCTCAGGACTATCCGGACTCGCCAGACTCATGAACCGCTGCGCGCTAAGAGGCGTGTCAGCAGGGAACCCAGCCTTCGCTGTGAGATTCATCGGCAAAATAGCGTCCAGTTTCTGCTGGTGGTCACCAAAAGTGTACGGCTGTTGTCTAGCAAACGCAACGAGCTGGTCAAACGCAGCCCGCGCCTCGTTCCCCATCGTCGTTCCCTCGTCGGCCTTGAGCTGAGCCTCTAGCCCCTCGCGGTCTGACATGGGAGCTTGGAGAATTGCACCATCGAGCTCCGGGCGGGTGAGATGCTTCAATCTTCCTTGGAACTCGTCAGGGCGTTGCGGGACGGGGTTTGGCGTGTGCAGGTAGTGCAACACATCCTGGCTTCCGGTGGAGTGACCCATGACCACGACTTTTCCGGAGGGATTGCGTTCCTGGACGAATTTCACGCATTGCGCGATCTCTTCGATGTCCTGGTCGAGACTGCCGACACCCCAGCCGCCGTAGGAGGAGGAGAGGAGGAGGTGGAAGAGGGACCAGTCGGTTGGTTCGAGGGCCTTTGCTAGTGGGGCCACGTAGGGGACTGTGCCGAGGCCGTCTGTGAGGCCTCCGATGAAGAGGATTGTGTTTGGTTTAGGGGCGTTGGAGGTGAATTCGAACGCGGTCAATCTGGGGGCCTGTCATGCTGTTAGTTGGAGATGTTTCCGGGTTATGATAAATCTTACATATTGGTGGAGGATGCCCTGGTGCGAAGGGTTCGACATAGCTGCAAACAGAATGTAAATATATCTATCAGGTTCAAATTGGGTCTATGGATGATGTTGTTTGGTTGATGACGTTCAGTCGTAACCGACGTGGGGTGGTTTATTTGTATGGCGGGGTGGAGGATGTTCCGTACTCATTCCTTCACTCTGCATGTACTATCTGACTTATTACTAATATACACCTGGTACAGGTTTCTTAAGGACTCTCTTGATTAAAACCACTCGGTCTAAAATCTCTTGTATATTATCTATGTTGAGATGAGAGTAGAGCTCCATCGGAGCTAAATTGATGCGCATCTCCGCCAAGATCTGAAAAGATAAGAGAGCTTTTATCTCGGCATCTACAACCATCCGTCTCTATTGCTACGGACAATGTAGCTTTTCTGCAATCGAATTGGATATGCTTACATGTTATGAATATGTGCTAGCTCTGGTTATAGTTCATACAAGGGCCAATCTTAGTCTCCAGCACAAGGGGTGAACAGCCAAACCCTGTCGCATACCTTGATTTCTGCCAAACGACGAGTCCTAGTTGAGAATCGCGAAGGCATCTTTCAGCTGGATTACCCTAGCCATGCCTCGTGCGCGCAGGTCAACTCGCTCTGCAGGGGGCAAAACTAAATATACCGTTGATCCATTTGAAATCGCCGGCCTCAGCGGGGACTCTGATACCGGAGAGGCAGGTGGGTCGTCAGCAGTCAAAGTGCTAGACGAGGATTCAGAAGAAGATTTTCAACATGCATCAAATAATGAAGATGCGGACGAGGAGGACAAGGAGGTGGAGCCCGAAGACGAGGATGAGCCCGAGTATGCTGGAGAAGCTATGGATATCGATGGACCGGCATCTACCCTAAGAGGTCGAGGGAAAAAGAACCCAAAGGCCAAGAAAGAGAAAGCCATATCTCAACCAGACACCAAGAAAAAACAACTAAGTGGGCCTAAACCGGACGAGACGCGTTCCCGGGGCATTCTGAACACGTCCGATCACGTCGGGAAGTCAGTTCACCTCCAGTTCACCTTTGGAACAGACGAGCGCGACTTGCTAGCTATTTTGCATGCGAGGGAGCGGTGGGCGAAAGGAATCGACTCGGGGTTTCCCAGCCGTGCATCGTTGAACACAGCCCAAACAGCACCTGGTTACGCTTACGGGCCGACATATGGGGCCGATCCTGAAGATGTGCAGAAGGAGAGCACTCGTGGTTGGGACTGGTACTATGATGGGGATGTTGGGGGGAAGTTCAGGAAACGACAATGGCTAGCCAAGATCAAAGAAGATGAAGGCCGTCGCTATATGCCTCAATCCAAACCGGGGAAGCATACTGTGCTCATGGGGCTGGCTGATGATCAGAAAAAGTTTTCATTGGGACAGTTTGAATCAATGGATTTCGGAGATGCATGGGGGCCTGCAGGAGCAAAAAGGAAGCGAGAAGGATGGATGTTGAACATGGGCCAAAAGATTCAATCCATGGCTTGGGCACCGAATCAAAATGGACTCGTCCAGTATTTGGCTATCGTCTCTCACATCACCGAAGAACAAAAGAGTCAATACCCTGATCCTCTAGCAGATAAAGCGGCACCGGCCTTTCGGCCTTCAGCGCTATATCCGAGCGCATTTCAGATCTGGGCTTTTAAGGCCAAGAGAGACGACTCACTGACAAAAACGCTTGATATGGAATTCAAGCCACGGTTACGACTGGCCCTATGCACCGACTGGGGAGACCTGCGGCGTATAGCATGGTGTCCGTTCCCTCGCGCTAAGCGAGATGAGGACGATGAAGATGCCTTGAAGAACGTTGGGCTTCTGGCAGGCATATGGGGAGATGGATATATAAGGGTCATTGATATCAAAACTAACAGAGATCCTAACACTACTGAATTTCGTAAGTCACCAAGCAAACCAAATAGTGAGTGGATCTGACCACAGCGCGAAACAGACAAAGTCCTTTCTCCTGCCTTTACAGCCAAACCACCTTCGACATTGTGTACATGCGTGGCCTGGCTCTCCCCAACTGACATCGCTGTTGGCTGCGCCAACGGGTTCGTTGCAATTTGGAGCATCCTGTCTTTGCAAGACTCATCATTAAACCACCCTCTTCCGTATTTCTACCAGCAAATCCACTCGACATACATCCTCAATATCACCCCCGCCTATCCCGCACACCCACATATCTTCAGTACCACTTCAATGGACGGCGAGACTCGCCTAACATCATTCCTCGACCCGCAGAAAGACGTAACCGAGACAAATCGCATGCGAATGGGTTCGCCTCATATCTCCTTCTCTCCCTTCCTTCAGTCTTTTGTCTCCAGCGATGAGAACGACTTTGCCCGACTCATTACCCTCCGACGATTCTTCGCGACTACCTCCATCGCACGACTTCCCAGCTCCGTATCTGCTCTGGCGCCATGCAGCCCCTGCCATCCGAGTCTATTGTTTGGATGCTCGGGGGGGGCTGTGGTCGTGACGAATCCGCTCAGGAGACTCATGCACTCAAAACAGAAGCAGTGGCAGCAGACGTGGTTCGTGCATGATTGGGTTCAGGGCCCGGAGAAGGAGGGTTCGGGTATTAGTCGGTTCCAGGATGGGTTCCGTGCGGAGAGTGTGAGTCTTTTACGGAGTATGGCGGGGGATTGGAAGATGGTTAATGGGACTATGGTTATTACTATACATGAGGAGGAGACCAATGTCACTTCTGTGACGTGGAATCCTAATCAGGTTTGTGCGGGATGGGCGAGTGCTGGGATGGGATGTGGGTTGATTCGGGTTGAGGATGTTGCTTTGTCATGAAGCTGTACACATTCTTGAATACATACAGAGTATATAATGAGTGATCTACTACTCCGTAAAAAGCGAGACTTGTCTATTTTTGGAAGAGGTCGGCCTCAAAACTACCCTTTTCGGAAGAGTCTCCACACGTGATGTCACTTGAAATTCGGGGCTATTCACTTGGATCCAAGTTCTAGCCTGTTCTTTTATGAAATCAGGACATTACCATGGTGACATCCCACGAGAGTAGCGAGTCAAAAGAAAAAAGCGACAAAGAAAAAGAATGGCAGTGGCTGGCCGTTTTCCCAGCCTCTCGGTTTTTGTGCCAATCAACCATGAGCGATTGACTTGATATTCGCTTGTTGTACAAAGTACCAAAGTACCTTCTAATTCAAAGAATTTATATGTAGGCTTAATTTCTCTCAACACTTTTCCCTGCCTATTCTCCAGTCTCATCGCATACTGCCATAGCGCATTCGAAATTTGCACGGAACCAACTACATTGGATAGATATAGCTCCGATCTGAAACGTCTTTCAATCCCAAGAAACACAATGCGCTTCTCTTCAACAGCTGCTTTCTTTGCACTCTCTTCTCTGTGCGCTTCCTACGTGCTGCCTTTCACCCATCCACAGCAGTCCAACGACAATTTAATGCGACGAGAGCTACCATATGCCGTGGTCAACGTTGACAGTGATGACCAGACCACTAGCGGCTCCAGCCCAAGCAGTAGCAACAGCAATATATCTCCAGTCATTCAGACAGCTGTTAAAACCGTGACTGCGTCGAGTCCTCCATCCCCGCCAGTGACTGTTACGGTAACTACGACTGCCTTCTCGACTCCTATCATTTCGTCATTTCCGTGCAGCAGCAGTACCCCCGTTTCCAGTCTGAGTTTGCCTCCATTGAGCAGAGCTGGGACTTTGATTACTGTGCCTAGCCCTAGTCGCACGGCCTCTTCGGTATCGGGCCAGACGAGCAGCGGCAGCCTGAGTAGCACTGTTCGTGCAACATCAACCACGGATCACCATTGATTTACTTCATCTTCTTAAATTACATGATATTTATGGCGAGGACCAGCCTCGAGGAACTTGGACTTGTATATGTTTGACGGGAATTCTACTAGTACGGAGTACTATGGAGCCTCTATAAGTGGGTCTGGGGCCTATATGCCATGCAAACCATGCGATTCTCTTTACGATTGATTACACTTTGGCACGGTCTAAACAAATAACGAGGAACATGTGTAACGGGCGTTCTCAATGGGTAGTTAGTAATGTTGATTCTTGTTTATGTTGTATCCTCTCGGCACTAATGTCTGTCCAGCTAGCTTGATCTATCATAGAGACATAATAAATAGATCCATCAATTGCATTGAATTGTGAATTATCAAGTGCAATACATATTTATTTCCTATCAACATTCAATAACGACTGATAGTATGTATACAGAGCGCGGCTTCATCTCTTGGCATTTGCCCGCTTTAGCGTGACGGAACTCGTTGCGTCCCCGTCCGATCCCCAGACGACAAGTTGAACAACTATTCACGACTCCTCCTCTTCTTTTCTGCTTCTTGCTTTTCTTTCTCCGATTAATACATGGGAGGATAGCTTGCTAAATACTCTGCCGTTAGAGTGCTTCTCTAACTCCGTTCTGCCCTCCTCGACGTCACTTGCAGCATACCTCAGTCGCCGTCGTCCCTCGTCCCTCGTCCGCCGTGTATCCCCTCTAGCATCCCACCTACAAACGCAACTTCGCCCTTCGAACTCCATCCATCATGGCCAGCCCGATATCTCCTCCCGAGGATCAAACTCGTCTCCTCGAGGAGGCATTGGGGGTGGTCCGCCAGCAGTCGCAAATGATGCGAAAGTGCCTCGAAACCCCCGGGAAGCTCATGGATGCGCTCAAATGCGGGTGAGCTACATATGCATCCCCTCTTCCCTATCTACCATGATTTACCCTTCTATGGGAGACAGCGAAAGCGACATTTGAATAAATGACTAACGCGATGCCGACGCCACGTCAATTGGTTTGTTCAGGTCTACCTTAGTTTCTGAATTGCGGACCCCCAGCCTAGGCCCCAAGCAATACTACGAATTGTACATGGCGGTTTTCGACGCATTGCGACACCTCTCCGTTTACCTGAAAGAGAACCACCCCGTTAACCACTTGGCCGATCTGTACGAGCTTGTTCAGTATGCAGGCAACATCATTCCGCGACTTTATCTCATGATCACGGTGGGCACGGTTTACATGTCCGTGGAGGATGCCCCAGTTAAGGAGATTATGAAGGATATGATGGAAATGAGCAGGGGTGTGCAGCATCCGATTCGCGGTTTGTTCTTGAGGTATTACCTGTCTGGTCAGGCTAGAGATCACCTGCCTACAGGGACTGGTACCGGGCCGGAGGGTAATATTCAGGATTCGATCAACTTCGTCCTGACAAACTTCGTCGAAATGAACAAACTGTGGGTTAGACTGCAGCACCAGGGTCCTTCGCGGGAAAGAGAAAAGCGGATGCAAGAGAGACGGGAGCTGGAGTTACTGGTGGGCAGCAATATCGTTAGGCTCAGCCAGTTGGTGGATCTGGAAGGTTACAAGTCGGGTATACTGCAGGCATTGCTGGAACAGGTCGTCCAGTGTCGGGATGTTCTTGCGCAGGAATATCTGCTTGAAGGTAAGAAGGCCTCGTTCGATCCTGTGGTTGAATCCTGAATGCTGACACTATATTTCCGCAATCTAGTGATCACGAAGGTGTTCCCCGATGAATTCCACCTCCATACTCTCGACCTCCTGCTCTCCTCGATTGCCAGACTTAATCCATACGTGGACTTGAAGAAGATTGTCATTGGGCTAATGGATCGATTGTCGGCATTTGCGGCTCGGGAAACAGAGTCGGCCGCGGACCCGGATGCAAGGAAACAGAGAGAAGAGGAAGCTGTCGAGAAGCTGCTCGAGAAACTCAAGATTTCCGAAGCTTCCAAGGATGAAGCGGCTGAGGGCGCAGAAACTAGCGCGGCCCAGGAGAACGGAGTTGAGCAGCCCTCAACTGAAACACCCGAAGATGCTGGGAAGAAGCCTGAAGGAGAAGAGAACGCGGCCAGCACTAACGGCGCAAACCCGAACATTCCTTCCGATGTCGCATTATACTCCATATTCTACGATCAGGTGGTCAATCTCATCCAGACTCGCGGCCTGCCTATTCAGGATACCATGGCATTATTGGTGTCTCTGGTTAACCTGGCCCTGAACACCTACCCTGACCAATTAGAATATGTCGACAAGATCCTGGATTTCGCGACTCAAAAGACCTCCGAGTACACTGATCACGCTGACCTGCATTCTCCCCCGGCACAACAAAACCTCTTGCACCTTCTTCTTGCACCTCTTCGCTCTTATGCATCTATCTTCACAGCTTTGGCCCTGCCGCACTACCTTCCACTCCTCACTGCTCAATCTTATCCTACCCGACGATCGGTTGCTGGTGAAATCGCTCGCAGCCTTCTCAAGAACCGAACTCTGATTACAACGACAGAGAACTTGGACCGCATTCTGCAAGCCCTTAGAGTTGTGATCAAAGAGGGCACACAACAAGCCATGGGATATCCTGGGTCCCAGCGACGAGGAGGAGAAACTGATGAGACCATTGAGGAGCAAGGGTGGCTTGCGAGATTGGTGCACCTGATCCAGTCTACTGAGAATGATACCCAACTTAAAGTATAAACCCACTGAAAGTAAACTTCACGAGTCTTCAACGTGACTAACGTCTATTCTAGCTCCTCCAAGCAACCCGCAAGGCCTATGCAGATGGTAACGAACGAATCCGATACACGACCCCAGCAATCATCACATCTTCGATACGGTTAGCCCGCAAGTTGAAGTCCCGCGAACACTACGACGACAACTGGCAATCGCAATCCTCAGCACTCTACCGGTTCATGCACCAGTGTGTCAACAACCTATACCAGCGTGTAAATCCCGGCTCCGCCGATCTGTCGTTGCGCTTGTTCGTTATGTGCGGTGAAGTGGCCGACCAGACCGGTTTCGAAGAGTTCAGCTACGAGTTCTTTGCTCAGGCATTTACAATTTACGAAGATTCCATTAGCGACTCGCGTGCTCAGTTCCAAGCCGTGTGTATCATTGCAAGTGCCTTGCATGGGACACGGGGTTTCTCCAAGGAGAACTACGACACACTCATTACCAAGACTGCTTTGCATGGCAGCAAACTGCTCAAGAAACCTGACCAGTGTCGCGCGGTATATCTGGCAAGCCACCTCTGGTGGATTGTGGAGAACCCACAGAGGGAAGAAGATCCCCAAAATGTAAGCCAAGGTCCCCCTATAATGAAACCCACGGCAACTCTAACAATGATCCAACAGCTCTACCGCGACGGCAAACGCGTCCTCGAATGCCTCCAACGTGCCCTCCGCGTCGCAGACGCCTGCATGGACACCGCCGTCTCCGTCGAACTCTTCGTCGAGATCCTCAACCGCTACGTCTACTACTTCGACCAGCAAAACGAAACCGTCACGACCAAGTACCTCAACGGCCTCATCGAGCTCATCCACTCCAACCTGCAGACGAACGAGGATGAACCAAATCCTAGTCTCGAGGGCCCGAAGCGCCATTTCCAGCGGACGTTGGATTACATCCGGTCGAGGGAGTATGAGGGTATTGTTACGGAGGCTAAGCAGTGAGCTAGCTATTGAGCATGCAAGAATCGTTCTTTGAAATGAATACCTGTTCTATGCTTTGTCTGTTCTAATTTCGTCGTTTCTGATTTGATTTGGCCTGGCACCGGTACATTGTTCTCGACTCTCTTTCTTGTTGGTATATAGGTGTATCATTGTTCATTGTTCCCCTCCATACCCTTTGTCCCTGTCTTTTTTCTTTACGTCTGTTGTCAGAATAGAAAGATAACAGAGCGAAGAAATTTCTTATTCTTTTGGCCCTCTAAATGGAGCGATAGATCTTGATTCTTTATATTCTCTCCTTAAGAAAAGAGCAAATACCGAACCCACATCTGACACCGCAAGTCCACAAGTAGTTAACCCTAACTCCTGATCCAAGAATATTCCCATATTCCCCGCTTCTATGCATCAAATATTACAAGCAATACGAAGTAGATAGTATTCCGAGCCAGGAGACAGCAACAAGAAAAGACTCTTGTGAAGCCAAATCGGATCATGCAATTGGTTTAACACGGAGTGGGTAGAACCCCATGGGAATCGCTGCATAGTGCGGGAAAATAACTCATACACACAAACACCATTGCAAAGTTGCAAATAGAAAAAGAAGTGCAAAGAGGAAGACTCGGACATGAGAAGTAGGAAAGACGAAAAGGGTGCCAAGAAGGAGGATGAGAGGACATGACGGGACGCTTAACCCAGGTGTAGAAATTTCAGCAGTTCATCCCAAAGCGTAGAAAGGTAGTAGTGGAGTTAAAAGCCAAACGTCTAGAAGCCGGTTGGAGGAGAAGTAAACTGCCGTAGCACGGAAGAAGTGCCAATGCCGCCAAATGCAGGTACGCTGCTATTTGTAATTGGACTCCCGATCTCACCGGGGACAATGCTGCCTCTGTGGCCTGAAGCAGCACTAATAGTATCCGACTCGAACTTGACGAACTGTCCATTCTCGTCGTCGCGGATCGAAAACGAGCCACCCCCGTTTTGCGGGTTGCCTTCCGTGTCGCAGATGTCGAGCATCTCCTTCAAGGAAATAGCAGGCTCGCTGGACGGTTTTAACTGCTCGATCTGGCGAAGAACGAGGTGCACATCATGGTAGCCGCTTGCATCTTTAGAAGGAAGAATGGTATTAAGCTGCTTGCAGGCTTGTATCACCAGTAACCGAATCGTAACAGGCCGCGACGTGTGTGTACGGTGGAAACCTCCAGTCCCGAAAGCGTTGTTTGACCAGCCGCTTCCTACATACATAGTTAATATCGATCAAGGACGCTAAAAGAGCACAATAAGCTACTTACCAGGTCCAGTACCCCATGTTGTTGACCCAGGGAATGGAGAGGTACCAAAGGGAAGTGGTGGTGGTCCCCAAGTGTTGCTCCCTAATCCACTAGGATTCAATGAGAAACTAGGAGGTTTCGACGCTGTACAATCGTTAGTCATCCAAGTCTTTGATCTAATGCAACAACTGAAGGTTGACATACCGAGAGGGTCAGCAAAATATGACGGTGCCGCAAAGCTAGCACGAGTTGGCCCTCGGAAAGGTCCCGGTACCGTTGCACCTGGGAGAGACTGAGATAAGCTCGAGGGCAATGGCGCATCAGTGTCGTCGAGAAGGGCACTGCTGCCTAGATGTGTGCTTAACTCTTCCACATCTTGCTTTGCAGTAGTGCGCCTGTTTCCCTGCTGCTGATCCTGCGGAGCCGTACTGGAAGGACGTTTGATCGGACTGGGTCGGGAAATAGGGAAGGGTTGTGTTTGGGTATTTAGAGGGGACCGTTCAAAGGAGTTAGACGGCTGTCTAGAGTGAACCTGCGACAGTCCATTCTGGTGCGGAGAGAATGCGTTCGCTATCGGCTGCTGGCCATGGAAGGGAAGGCCATGCCCCGGATCGAGCGGGAAACCTCGCCCAGGCGGCATCGGACGGACTCCATTAATCCCTGGAGGAACCGGTATCCCATTTGGTGCAGGGAACCCACGCAATGGGCTCATGAGAGACCCAGTGTGTGGCGGGTATGCAGGCAATTCCGAGCCCATTGGCGGTCGAGGAGGCATACCTGATAGACCAGGGGGAGGGTGAGACGGCAAGCCGTTGATGCCAAATAGCCCCGGCGGATGAGATCTAGCTGCGGAACCGAGGGGAGACAACGGCGTAGACGGTTGGGGAGTGTGTAGCATCGGATGTTGTGCAAGTCCCTGTCTGGATGCCGCGCTCGAGGTTCCAGATGGAGGCATAGATCGCGGAGAGACGGAGAATTGCGAATGTTCTGCACTGGCGGCCTGCGATCGTGGTGACGATGTATGCGAGCCCTGACGAGATGGTTGACGGACCCTGGCGGGCGTAGGTGCCTTGGGGACTACGGGCGTAGCGACTTGAGAGTGCGGCGACGGCCCCTGGGGATGTGGCAGGTTGTACGGAATAGGGACACTTGGAAGGATCGGTTGGGTCTTGACCTCCCGTGTTTCTTTCTCTCGTTCCTCTTGTTCCTTTCGCCGGGCCTCCTCGCGCCGCTTCTTTTCCTCGCGATGCTTTTTCTCGGCGTCCGCCTGCCGTTCTCTCTCTTCGCGGAGGCGTCGTTGCTTCTCGGCTTCTTTGCGTACACGCTCTTCCTCTTGAGCTTTCCGCTCGGCTTCCCGTTTCTTCCGCTGCTCTTCACGTTTGCGCCGTTGCTCTTCCTGTTTCTTCTCCTGTGCGGCCTTCGCTGCAGCTTCCTCTGCAACCTTCTCCGCCTCACGCCGCGCCTTTTCTTCCTCCTTGGCCTGCCTCTGAAGTCGCTTTTTCTCCTTCTTCTTTTCGGCTTCTCGGGCTTTCTTGGCGGAGCGCTGTTCGTTCCGGTTTTCCTCCTCCAACAGCTCCTCGATGAGCTTTTGTTGTCGCTGCTCGGCGACCTTCTCCCGATACGCTGTTAAGACGCGCTGTTCAAACATTCGGGCCGCAAAGATCTGGAACATTCGTCTTCCTTCCTCCATGCGTTGCTCTTCGGTCATGGCGTCCTGAAAAAACTCAGTCAGCACGCACCGCCCCTGCAAACATGGCGAAGAGAATGGGCCAACAACTCCAGGGCACACCATTTCATCTTCCTCATAATCCTCTTCCTCCTGACTATCGTAGTCTTCATCCTCTTCATCGTCATAATCTTCTTCGTCGAGAGGATCGTGGTTGTGGCCGCCATGGAGGGATTGATGTGCTGCGGCGATGCCGTACTGGGTATCTTCCTCCCGCTGCATTCGACGTTCGGCTAACTGTTCCATCATGTCGATAAAATGTTTCCCATCGTTTTTTAATAAATCGTCCGCGACTGTAAGGATCCCATCTACATGAGGAAAAGTCAGAAATCGTTATCCTGAAAAAGGATACATGGCCAAGTCCATAAAGCTGTGCTATCCTCCTACCTTTTACCGTTAGGCTGTTTCCAAAGGCAAAGAAATCCGCGCGGGCTGCACGAGTGTCCTCGTCCTCGAGATCCTCGTCTTCCTCCTCTTCATCGCTGTATGGCTCATCGTCCTCGTCCTCTTCATCATACTCTTCTTCCAAATCTTCTTCTTCCTCTTCTGGCAATTCGTGGACGCGACCTCGTGAAGGATGGAATTGACCATGTGTTCGGGTGTGTTGGCCAGGGGATCGTAATGGTGGATGATATAAACGAGGAGGGGGGACGATCGGCGAGTTCTTCTCGAAGGAACCTTGGTTATTATTGGCGTACTGTTCGAGCTCTTCGTAGTACGCATCGTAGAGCACCTCGAGCTCCTCTTCGATGGCCGTCCGCTTTCGCCCACACACAGTACAGCTGCACGAGTGTTTCTGCTGCTCCTTCATCTTCTTCAAGACCGCATCCTTCTCCACCTTGACCAATTGTCGTCGTTCCTCCTCGCCTAATTCAAGCCAGAAAGTTTTGATATTTTCTCGTTCTTCCTGCGTCGAAGTATTCCAGATACTGCGCTCTTTGGCCGATTTCAAAATCGCGCGGGGTCCGAAATGCGGGGGAAGAGGGGGGGGAAAGGTGCGCGACATGGAAACGGATGGAGTAGATCGAGGAGTAGAGCTGCCATCTGCAACAATCCGAGAACCAGGACTGCCCTTTTTACCCTTTCTCTTCTTAGATTTCCTGCCCGGTACCGCTTGGTGAACATGATTAGGTGTCCCGTGATACGCATCGATAGAAACTTCATCATCATCATCATCGGAATACATGTCTCCGTTGGTAGAATGGTGTGGTTCAACATCATCCAGATCGGGCTCATCGTAGGGGTGGTCCTCCAGTCCTGCGTGGTCGGTAACATCTGTCGACGCATATCCGTTCTGAAGATGATTATCCGCGGCCAAACGAGCAGCTTGTTTTTGCCTTCTTTTCTGCTTCTTGCGGTTAACGGTTGGAGCCATCGGGTTCGGAGTTTGGTTCTCTTTGAGCGCATGCGCCTCACCGTTGGTGGGACGCGTTGAAGGGCGGTCGGACATGGTGGGATCTGATCGAGGGGAGTTGGGAGCGTGCGGAGGGGTCAAGGAGTTCTGTGCTGTTTTGGCTGTTGAACCAGCCTTTACAGGCATGGAGGCGACGGTGAATGTCTCCCCCTTATCCAATCAAGTTCCAGCAGTAATTAGAAAACCGAATGGCCGCGAGAAACGATGAGATGTAACGCAGACTCACCCAGCGCTGGGTGAAAGAACGAATGGTGCTTAGAGCCGTCAGCAAGCCCCCACACTAAATGTCGCCTTTTCGCCCTCCTCCGGGCAAGAATATTGACTCACGGGAGTCAGTAGCGGAGCTATAAGGCCAGCGGTAGAATCCAGAGTGACCGAAACGGGAACGAATGAGGGCGGAGAGAGGGGTGGAAAAGGGACCCTGGCCGCACGTCTATCGATACCTGGCGAAGCAGTGAACGGACTGAGCGAGAAACGGGAGTCGAAGGGTCGGTCAGGGAATCGAATACTAAGCGAAAGATAAGGTAACCAGCGCACGAGAGGCTGGCGATGGGGTGGTTAGACTGGAGAGAGGATGGAGAGACTGAATGGATCTGGATGGTTGGTGGATCTTTGACGCCGCCGCGTGACTAAGGCGGGCGCGAATAGACGCCGTAACTAAGCGAAATTGAAGCCTGAATGTGCAGGCATAGATTAGTTAACTAACACTAGCAGGGCTTTGCAGGAGATTAGCCGAGTAACAATGAGGGTAATGATGGTAGAATCTCAATCGCTATACTGCTGGGAATATGATGAAGCCAATTTGAATATCAATTGAAGCTATGCTCGGCTAATCTGCGCTGTAATAACGGCTCTCTAATTATCCCGTCCATACTCCATACAACTAATGGAGCATACAAATCTCTTGCAACAGATTAAACTCCTCAGATCCAAGCATCTGAGACGCTTGTCAAGCGACTAAAACCAGCGGGTGGGCTTCAGTCCAACTGTATTCCGTTCATCGACCGGCCGATCTCATCCTTTACTTTGATTACGGGTTCAATGCCTTATTAAGAAAAAAGGCCCGGGTCCATTTATGTATTTTTTTTTTTTTTGTCTGGATTCCGGGTCTTCCAGCTCAATTCTTTTCAATTCTTCTTATATTTCTTTCCCCCCCCCCCCTCTTCTACTACTCTGTACCCAATAATTGTTCTGCATACTCCGTGTGAATTGCGTCCTGCCAGTGGCCGATCCATTTATTATTATTATTATTTACTGCTGGTCAGCCTCACCTCGACCGCCTTCCAGAATTCCTCCCTCCACCCCCCTCTCTCTCCCCAAGGGCCCTTATCATCTCCTCCATCGCTGCCCTGTTTCTCCATCATTTTCTCCTTCGGTTTCAATCGTTAAAGGGGGAGGGGACAAGTTGGCCAACTTTTTTTTCGCTATCCGTTCGACCCGTTTTGCACCGAATCGAATCGAGAAGTTGTCCCTTACGCTAGTGCCCCCGTTGCCTGATTGTTTCGCATTACATCGGGCTTGAAACCACGCCCTCTCCGTCGCCCGCCTGCGGTTTTCCCTTTTTTGCTCCCGGACTCTGGATCGCTGTGTTTGTTGGAATTTCATTACCGGGATTTCAGGTGACCATTGGACAACCATGGCGCAGCAACCAAATGACAATGTTATGCGAAGGTACGTGTAAGACGGCAAGGGAGGATTGAATCAGAAACCATTCCAGATCCCGCTTTTCATCGGTTTTTATGGCTTTTTTTTATTTGAAAGATGTCCAGGCTGGGCCGAGGTAAACTGGGCTGGATTGCATTAGGCGGTTCCAGATTGTCGCACGGTTTTGTAGTTGGGAAAGCAGGGCGGACCTATACCAAACCGGACCATTTTTGCTCAGGGAACAGTATACTGACCAAGGAACGCATAACTGCAGGAAGCTGGTGATTATCGGAGATGGTGCATGTGGGAAAACCAGTCTTCTCAGCGTCTTTACATTGGGGTATTTCCCAACAGTGAGTGTTTCAAACTATCCGAGTCACACCAGATGACAATGGCTAACGTTTGTTATCATTGCAGCATTATGTTAGTGAACCTGTTTCTGCCGCCCGTTCGAGTGCATATCCGAAATCTGACTGAATACGCGTTGATCAGGTCCCTACCGTTTTTGAGAACTACGTGACGGATTGCAGAGTCGATGGTCGCTCTGTGCAATTAGCATTGTGGGATACTGCAGGTCAGGAAGACTACGAGCGATTGCGACCTATGGCATATTCCAAAGCCCATGTCATTCTGATCGGTTTCTCTGTCGATACCCCTGATAGTTTAGAGAACGTGAAGCACAAGGTTCGTTTACTTTCCCATATCCTCTGACAACCTTGGAACATTCAAGTCTAACTAAAACGATTATAGTGGATGGACGAAGCAAACGAGCGATGCCCCGGCGTTCCTATCATATTGGTTGGTTTGAAGAAGGATCTTCGCGATGATCCCCTTGCGATAGAGGAGATGAGAAAGAAATCGCTACGATTCGTGACACCCAAAGAGGGCGGAGATATATCAACCCAGATTGGAGCCAGGAAGTACCTGGAGTGCTCATCTTTAACGGGAGAGGGTGTTGACGACGTCTTCGAAGCGGCCACTCGCGCGGCCCTTCTCACGTTTGAGAAGCGAAAGAGTTCATGCTGCATCGTCCTATGACGGATCGAAGAGAGTCTAGTACGCTCAAGCCTGCGTTGCTTCTGCATTGAGAGGCACAACGGGGGATAAGGTCCGTCGATGACATTTCATTTTATCGATATCTTGCATAACCGGCGTTTGGGAGGTTTCTTGTCGACTCTTTTTTTTTTTTTTTTTTTTTTTTTTTTTTGCACCTTGAATCATTTTTGTACGCCATATGACGCCTGCTATCTTTCGACCATTTTGAACAGTGGTATCTCCTCTGTCGCTTTTTGAGCCCATTCCGATATTCCTCGGAGTTACTGTTTTTTCTGCCCACCCTTCTGGTCGAGGTTACATGCGTGTGTGCGCTCTGGAGTTCCCTCTTTATATTTTTTCATTTCTATGCTGGGATTTATTTCTTGGCCAGGTCTTGTCATGGGTGCGTTTTGTTTCTTGGGATCTATCTGTCTCCTTATTAGCGTCTTGGTTTTCGAGTCATTTTGGTCCGTTATCTACTGTCAAATCTACGTGCTATATCACGATAATTGTACACTGCAGTGATCTGAACAACGTGCCACTTTATTGTACAGAATACAACCCAGAACTGCCAAATAGAACGATAGAGAAAAAAAAGAACCGTCATTTATAATACAACCCAAACTCATAACAATACATACAAATCAAATCAAACTATCCTTTTAAAAAAACATCCACTTATTTCTTCTCCATCCTCTTCCACTCATGATTCCACCCCTCCCGACTAGGCGCATCAGTCTGCAACCGCCCATACTCAATCGGGAACATGTCCGCAAAAACACCCTTCTTGTTCATCGACTTCCGGAACAGCTTCCCGCCATCGTAGGCACCCGTACGCAGCTCTTCGCACGCGCGGTGCATGGCGTGTTCCTGGCGCTCGAGCTCGAGGTGGTGCGCGCGGCGCTGCTGGGCTCGGTAGAGTTGCCAGGCGCGGTGGATGGTCCAGTGGCGGAGGTAACGGTTGCGGGAGAAGCGGAGAGGGCGCGGGGTTAGGGGGTGCCAGAGGAAGTAGCGGATCATAGCTAGAGCGATATATTAGTATTTTTCCTTCCCGATGCTTTTTTATTTGGTTTCCCCGTGTGGCATTGACACGGAGAAAATGTCTTGTGCGTGCGGGCGACGGGAAAAGTCCAACGTACTAATTCTCTTATTCACCTGCGGCGGTACAGCCCCGGCATTCCTCTTAGCCAAAGCAGTCGTAGTCGAAAACGTCCTCGACGCTGCGGGCTGCACGGCGGCCGTAATTGGCCCCGTGGTGGTTTTGCTGCTCGTCACGGCCTCATTGCAGACTCTGTTGATGGCGGGGCGGGTCGAGGTTTGCGAGATGGGGATCTTAAAGACGTTCGCGAGGGATGCGAGGACCGGTGAGAGGGACTTCATGGTGGGATATGTGTTGAATTGGGGTTTGGGGGGTTGAAATGGACGGCTGGTGGTTCTGCTTGTATCGGAGTCGGAGTCTGTTTCAGATGCGCTATTCCTGATTAAGACACTTGGTGCTGAGTCAGCATATAATAGGATCTTCTAGTTACTTTAGTGTACATTTTTCACTGCCATATAATATTTTATCTAACAATAGTATAGCTGTAGGGTCACTCTATCAAGCATTCTCCTTGTGCATTGAAGCGTAGTTTAGTGGACTGTTTCATCATTGTCTGCTGTACGGAGTAGCTATCGGATACAAAAGCCCTAACCCTTCATCGCGAAGTACTACTTCATTCCAGTGTAGTTGCTGAGACGATCTGCCTATTTTCAATCCATGGCATCGTGTTCTTTTAGGCGGGTCAGTTTGCGCATATGGGAACCGCTCATGACTGTCAGAAAACAACGGCGCCTTCTATCAAATAAGGCAGTCAACCGACGACCAACAATAACAGGCGCTCCGCCATTATGGATGCAAGTATGACGGAGGTGCAGCCATATAGACTAACCGCTTCATCTACAGAGACCTTCAACTGATCATGAACAGCCACTCGTTGATTGTTGTCTTTTAATGAGACATGCCTGAAGTTCTTATCAGTCCAACACATGGCACCTGCGACCCTACCCTTCCATCTTGATTTTACAATTCAAAAAATAGTGGCCGTCGCATTTCAGATCTTATTCAACTGGTGTATGGGGTGACTGTACGCACCTCATACTCGGGGGTAAAATGTGCTGTTTCAATCCGGAATCAGGTCCCATGGACGGTGAACAAAAAGGCGTCCTAGTCTCCCTGACCTGGGCTTAGACAATTTTAGCCTGTTTGATCTTGTGTCAAAAGCTTGGCTACTTCCTGTGCGAGGCTAGCTGACCGATTGCTCTCTTCTTAACCAGTATGTCGATAACACAAATTGCCACTGTGAAGCATTAAAACTTCTCGTAGCCAGAGCTTTGCATCGAGTTTTGAATGCTGACAGGGTTCGCTCCAACTGCTTTCTACTACTATTGTAGAATAATAGAGCCCTCGACCAGTGATCGCTAAGCCGGGTTTTTTCTGTGACGAAGTGTAGGTCATCCATGGAAATAATGTATTAGGATCCAATTATTTATTAAACTCACTCGCATTGGAGCCAACTTGTAGCTGCACTAGTCCCTAAATAATAAGAAATTGTTTAGTTCATGCAGTACCTGCATTATAATTGAAAATAACGATTAATGCAAGAGACACCCCTTGACAAGCTTCGTTGTATCTTCGTGGCTGCTTAAGCCATTTGACTGAGTCCACCGAAACACCACTTGGAGGAGCCGTTCTGGTAGTTATTTTATCGTATGCGTTCTGATATACCCCCTGGTACTGCTTTTTGAGTCGCCATGGGCGTCTTTCCATCTCTCAGTTGTTGAAGGGTCGACTTGCGCGGCTTGATCTAGAAGGACTCGCCCCTCTCGGCGGCCGCATCCAATGCCCGGTTTGTTCAACGAGTTGCGGTGGAATCCGAGCAGTTTGTGAGTAATATTTGGATCGTCTCAGGACATCCGAGCTGTACAGCTTTTTCTATATTGCTTGGCCTTATTAGGAGTGCGAAGTCGAAGGCACGCGATATTAAATGACCTGCGCAGTATCAGTTGTTTATTCTGCGTAAAAGAGGCCATTTATAACTGAGTTAAATTAATAATCGCGTTTGGTTCCGGCTAGCAGTGGCTTTTAACTAGGTCTGCGCAATACTGGAATGCTTTCGCACATTATCGGTTCTATCACTCAGGGAATTCAGCACCCTGAGACCCAGACAGGTCTCGTAAGAAGATCATAATCGGAATCACTATCTGAATTTGAGTCGTCACCTTCCTCAAGATCCTGCAGTTCAGGGGCACTATTTATTGCAGTAACGCGATCCATGAATCACTGTAATTCGAGCAAACGCGTGGGTGCGTGTTAGGGTTGTGCGTTTTGAGCATGACCACATCCCCTGAGCGAAGGAGGCGGCCTTTTTCAATATAATGAGGTCCCATGTTGTTATCACATGGATTAAAGTCCAATGGAAGCTGGGGAACTGTCGCATGTGCAAAGTCATCGGTAGTATCGAAGCACTCCAACCACCAAAATCTCACCATCATCCACTTTCCTTCAGTCTCTGTCTATTGGCTCAAGAGCAAAGAAGCCTTTTATGTGCATTGCATGAGCAGAAGGACTAAGGCATATCATGTTTTCGACTCTATCAGTTCCATCAGCGTCTCTGATACCATCCCACCATGCGTCCACACGCTCTTTTGTCCAGAACTATCACAAAGCCTTCCAAAACAAGTCAACCTCTCGAGATCTCGGGTCGCTCAAGGTGGACGGGTAGATATGGGCGCTTTCAGAGGTCAAAGGACAATATTTCGTCAAAGCACATGCACCGATATCAAAATGCACAGTCCTGTCTCGTTGGGTCCCTGTATTAGCAAAAAAACAGTCAGTCAGCCTTTGCCTGGTTATGGTTATTTCAACTGACATTCTTCAACAGTCTTGTAATATTCCAAACACTCCAAGTGAGGCGCCAGGCCATCAACATGATCGGGAATATCGACGTCAAATTCCCGCAGTTTCTCAATATCAGATACCCAAAGACACGCCCAGACCGTGCGAAATGTAGTGTTCCTGTGTATCCCAATTGCACCTAGTATTACACTGGAGATCCTATTGATCATCTCGATCCTCTCGGAATCGCGGAACGTCGCGTCTGAACCTGACATGTTTGCACGAGAAAGAGATAATTTATTAGACTCTTGTCGGTCTCTGATGAAAGAAATTCTAGAATAACCCTCAAGGTTGCAGAAACGGAACCCTCTCTTAGAATTGCCAATACAGTGACCTAGGTGGCTATAGACTTTGTGTCAGTCTAGAATAAACATAGTAGAGGGAAGGATGAATCCTTTCAATAGGATTTTGCTTAATACCATATGCAGCCTTGTTTCTGCCTAGCTCATTTATTCAGTATGACGATGAATCCCTAACCTCAGTATACGAACGAGGCGACCAATCATCAAAGCAGAGTTAGCCGCGCGGGAGCTTGTTTGATGGTTTTGATTTTAAGGTTTAAGCGCGCCATCCTGATGACTCGCCTCAGGTACATAACCGTTCCTGCATTTGAATCCTGTCTGCAAGGATTCGTTGCTTGTCTATCTGTGAGCTTATTTCTGGTTGGTAATATCCAAGTAATTAATGGATGGACGGATGAGGACTGGAGTCCTGAACTGAGTTAGATATATGTATATATTTCTAGCATTCGATCCTTTTTTCTACGGAGCAAAAACATTTTACAAGTAATATATTGAATGACTCAAACAAAATAGATTCTTTTTCGCTCATCGTTAGATCAAGGTATCGAAAAAATATCCCGAGAAAAAAGAGAGTAAACCCATCACATCGTCCCCCAAACAAATATCACCGGAAAATGAAACGCCTTATAAATGCATCATTGCGTCCATCATCATGAAAAGAGAGAAAAGAAAAGTAGAGGGAGAGAGGGAGAAAGAAACAGACAAAAGAAAAAGATGAAAGAATAGAAAACACCACCCATCAAACCCACTCCAGCCACACCTATCGCCTGCCCTTGCTTTTATCGTAATTCACCACCCTGCGCTTGCGATGAGTCTGGGACAATTTCCATCGACAATAAAGAAGCAACACATCCTTCAACAGGACAAACGCACATCCACCAACCACACTTCTTCCCCAACGGGTCTGCAGCAGCCCCGGCCTGCCACGTTCGAAAAGCGAGTATGGAGTCGTAGTCCACGATTTCGGCAGAACATACTTAAGAAGCCCACCCATGGATGCAGATATTGCCGGGAATACAAGTGCTCCGAGGACCACATCGGCGATGTTGCTGGTCTCATTAATAATATCACCTTGCCGTCGGCCAAGCAGTTGGCCATCATGGTCACCTCCCTCGTTTTGCTGTTGATTTTCCTCCGGTGCTGCCGGTTCATCGCCACCCATGCCCATTTGCAACTCGAGATTGATCACTACATGACCATCCCTGGCATCGCGTGCCCTCTGATCCGCCTCCGCTTGCTCTTGTGGTGGCGCATTGTCGTCGAATTCGTTGACGTTATCTGCGGTACGCGGTTGCACCTCGGAAATCCACTTTCGTTCAAGCCGGCCAAAAAGTTTCTCATACAGCGCACTGTAAAAACTGTTCACGTATGGCAACGCCGCGAATGTCATAGCCGCAGTGGGCGGCCAGAACTCAAGAGTGGATTCATGTCCGGGGTGCTGGCTGGCGAAGAAGAGGACAGGAATAGCGGGAAGAAGCCCCTCAGCATAGCGGGTTCGTGAAAAGATCAACGCCAACGGTATGAGGGGTAGCCCGAGACCTAATCCCGGATTCCACCCCGCCTCTGCGGTTTCCTCAAGGACCTGTCGTGCGTCCTCCGGCCCAAACACAAAGTACATCGAATACACCCCATGTGCACAACATCCAGCCCAGACGGTACCTGCCATTGTAAACACCATACCGGGGAGAACCATTCGACCCGCAATTCGTTCCACCAGCCGCATAACATCCACAATATAACTTCGCGGACGCGAAACCACAATCTCCGTCTTACACTGCGGGCACATCATCTTCGCTCCGCCATCGTTGCGCCGACGAGATCGCGGGTTCTCCATATCGGCCAACCAGTCGAGGAGGCAGGACTCATGAGCCGTCAAGGCACAGGGACACGGCGAGCGCCATTCTGCATTCAGTGGTGAATCCTCCGTCTCATCCGTGTAGCAGATCCAACATTTTCGAGGTTCGTAATCGGATGGATCGACGAGTGGGGTCTTGCTGGGCGATAATTCGGACTTGTTGAAAACCACCGTCTCTGTAGTTTCTGCCGACTCCGTCGCTCGAGTCTGGGATTGTGAGTTGCGTTCATCCTGGGTGGTAGACGTCGAGCCATCCGATGGCCGTGCTCCGCGCGCCACAGAATACATATCAAGTGTATTGCGGTTGTTCGGGAACGAAATAGAGAGCGGAAGACAAGAGAGAACCAAGTAACCTCCTAAAAGAGAGGAGCAGAACTCAGCATTCTTGCGTAAGTGGAGGACGGCGGGACGAGTACAACGAAGGCAAGGGAATGCCCAAGTTTAGCAGAATACTAAGTGGTGCAAGGCACACACACAAAGTCATGTGACAGTGGAAGAAAGGATGGCCAGAAACAAGAAGAATTAAGGCAAAAAAAAAAGGATTGTTGATGATGAAATGAGCCCCAGCACTTAGCTCCCCTTCAAGGCGCCTCTCGGATACGAACCGCGGCTTTTTACGGAGCGCTGGCTCGAGGGGCGGTGCACTCTAATTGGCCGATCCCTTTATTCACGTCAGAAGTCACGTGCCAAAGGGCGGGGGCGGTCGGGATTACATAAGGATCTCCGTTCTAGGCAGCGATCACGTCAACCGTCGGCCAAATGGCAGTATGAATCTTTCCCAGGTACAACATCACATCTCAATTATATACAAGTACAGTATCAGAACAAGAAGATCAGGGCGAAAAAAACGAGTACATAGTAGATGCAGTATAACCCATCCGGAGATAAAACCAATCCATCTCAATTCATTGGCGTAAAGATATTCAAGCGAAAACTTTTCGTCTGTTTCTTCTGTCTCTCCATATTGCTTTTAGGATTGCCTCCCATCGTTTCCTTTTCCTTTTCAATGGCGTGCAAGAGATAGATGCAATCGATATATGAAGTGGTGGGGGCAATAAACCAAGCCCCCTGCTGTGTTTTCAGAACCCCCAAAAACGCCGTGGATATCAACAAGAAAGAAAAGATCAATGTGACCCTTTTGGGTCGTTTCAAAGATAACGAGAAATCATTTGACATGGTCATCTTGTGTCGTCGATGTCATTTGTTGGTTAGGAGGCTTAGATGGGAATGTTCCTACTCCTCATCACGGCCTTTCTTTCTTGCTCCTTGGCTGCATAGAACGTCAGCATGCTGATTCATGAAAAGATAGCGCGGACTAGACATAGAACTTACTTTCGTCATACACCAAGAATTCGTGCAGAGCACATCCGGCGGGCACCATGGGAAGCACCGGTACCTTTCGGTCAGTGAACACCTCGAGCAGAGCCGGGCCGTCAGTCTCGATCAGCCACTTGAGCTTCTCCTCAAGCTCAGCCGGCTTAGTAACCTTGTCAGCAGCAACACCCATCGACTTAGCCAAAGGAACAAAGTCGGGGTTCTGCTGGTGGGTGTGCGAGTAGCGGTCCTCGTAGAACAGGTTCTGCCACTGGGTCACCATACCCTGCTCTTCGTTGTTCAACAAAAGGATCTTGACTCCAATGTTGAACTGAGCCGCCGTGGAGAGCTCAGTGAGGGTCATGTTGAAAGAGGCATCGCCATCAATGTCAATGACAAGAGCTTCAGGACGAGCCACCTTGGCACCAATAGCCGACGGGAGACCGTAACCCATCGTACCAAGACCACCAGAGGTGATCATGGTGCGAGGGTGACGCCAGCGGAAGTGCTGGGCGGCCCACATTTGGTGCTGGCCAACACCGGTGGTGATGACAGTGCGGTCCTTGATGGGGGCAGTCAGGTCGCTGAGCTTCTCGATCAAGGTCTGAGGCTTGATGGGACCGTCGGCGCTCTGTTGCTCATACAGCGAAAAGGGAAAACGGGCCTTCCAGTCGTTGATCTGCTCAAACCATTCCAGTCGCTCGGGGACGGAATTGATCTGCGGGAGAAGCATACGGATGTTATCCGCGCAGTCACCCTCGACGGCCTCGGTAGCCTGCACTACCTTGTTGATGTTCTTGGGCATAATCTCGAAATGCACAATACCACCCCGGTTTTCAGAAGCTGCGAGCTTAGCCTGCGGGGCGAACTTGGAAATGTTGCCAGTGACACGGTCGTCGAAACGAGCGCCAATCGCAATGATCAAATCAGCCTCCTGCATGGCCATGTTCGCATAAGCAGACCCGTGCATGCCCAGCATGTGGAGGGACTTGGGGTCGAGCTCATCGAATCCACCCAGACCCTGCAGGGTGGTAGTCACAGGGATGCAGGCCTTGTCGGCCAGCTCCTTCAGGACCTGTGGGCCATCAGGGCCGGCGAGCAGACCCTGGCCAACGTACAATATGGGCTTCTTGGCCTTGTTGACGAGGCGAGCAACACGGCCAATGGTACCCTCGAGCTGCTTGAAGCTCAGCTCTCGTGCTGCCATAGTCGCGGCACTGGGAAGAGAGGGCAGGGTGCTGTTCATCGGGATGGGCTTGCGGAGGATACCGGCGGTGATATCTTTTGGCAGGTCGACGAGGACGGGGCCGGGGCGGCCGCTGGTAGCGATCTCGAAGGCTTCCTGGATACGGCGAGGCAGCTCAGCCACGGATTTCACCATGACGTTCCATTTTGTGCATGCCCTTGAGATACCGACGACATCGGCTTCTTGGAAGGAATCTGTACCGATCGAACTGGTGGGGACCTGACCGCAGAAGACGACCATTGGGGTGCCGTCTGACAGCGCATCCTGCATCGGGGTAATAACGTTGGTGGCACCAGGGCCAGAAGTCACAAGCACAACACCGGGCTTTCCTGAAGCACGGGCATAACCTTCTGCCATGTGACCGGCACCTTGTTCATGCTTGGGGAGGACGAAGTCGAAATGCTTCGAGTTGTAGATAGCATCGAAAACGGGAAGAATAGCACCACCAGGGTAACCGACTGAGATTTCCCTATTAGTCTTGATGCTTCATGATGTTCAAGGGTATTGGAGAATGACTCACAGACATGCTTGACACCAATACGCAGCATCATTTCATGGAAGATCTCACCACCACTCAATCCGACCATCCTATTCAATTTCGATATCAATTAGCCCAGGCACGAAAAGAAAATATCTTTTATGCCATGTAACATACGAGTCATCCACATCGGGGTGCGATCGGTTTTGCAGAGGCGAAACGGTATTCCGCTGCGGCTCCTGGTTGAAAGCAGGACTGGGGACAGGTCTCGCGGCCTCCCTAACCAATTGAACCCCATATTAGTTATTTTTCTTTCATTTTCATTTTTTGACAGGACTCACGAAGCCGTTGCCGCTGCGGTGGTACTCTGATCACGTCTCTGGGCGGGAAAGCGGTGGGGCGAGTTGCTCGCGGCCACACACGACGAAGTGAACGACCGTCTCCCAGAGGCCATATATCTCTGGTAGTGGAAAGCGCGCATGGCGCTCTTTGATGGTCTCAACGGCATCATCTTGACAACTGATGAGTGCCAGGCCGAGAAGGAAAAGGAGAGGAGAGGAGATGAAGGGAAATTGAGGAAGATAAGAAGAGAAAGGGAAAAGGAGGGAGAAAGGGAATTGAAAAGTTGAGATTCGCCGTGAGTAAAAAGATTGGGAGAGCCACGAATAGCGTCGGCCACAGGTCCGGAGAAGAAACGCTCAGAGAAAGAAAATGTGAGTGCGAATTAGGAAGGTGGGTCGGGTGAGTCAGTAAATGTAAACACCATTATTGGTCGGCCGTTCCGATCATCGGCGCTGGCTTCAGTCCTCGGTTGTCCTCACGGGATACTACTGTATGCTAGGATAGCAATCATATAACTATTTTTTTTTTTTTTTTTTTTTTTTTTTTTTTTTTTTTTTTTTTTTT